ATGTATAATTCACCCCCTTAGCATACAACTTTAACCCCTTTGAGGCACGTGAAGGGGTTGACTTATCAAGGACCACCCTAATATATATATATTGTATATATATATACATTATTCTGCGGCTGATAAATAATTTTAATTATATATTCAAATTAGACTAATATATTTTATTTAATAATAATTCCCATAAGTTATTTACAACTATATATACACCTGTATTCATAATTTCCTGTTTCAATACGATATAAAGGTTCATCTGCTGAACAATAAGTAATTTCTTCATCGTCTAACTCTTTAACTTTTAAGCAGTATGATAAATATTCAAATTTCACATCAGCATATTTTCGTATTGTCTGTTTGGTATCTGGAATAGCTTTATTCAAATACGTACCAAATGACCTGGATATCTATTTCAAAACTAAATGATAAGGATTTATTATAAAAATAATTATTTATAATTTATAATTACTGGTTTCAGAGCTTTGATTAACATGAGACCTTGCCGTTCCATGCGTCTATGATATTCAGCAAAGCGTACTAAAGCCTCACTGGCTCTAGGCTGTGGTTCACGAGCACCAATTTCAGCAAAAGTATCACCAAATTCTACATAATTGACATGAAAATTTAAAAAGATATAAAATAATAAAAAAAAAATTGCTGGCCAATAATATATGTACCTTTAAAACATTGGGTTAGTGCATAAAACGCACGAAGTACACGTTCTGTATGATCAACTAAGTGACGATATGAATGTTCCATATCGTCTAATTGTTGTAAACGTTTTACAAGACTGTCATTAACAAGTATAGCACGAGACATACCTAAAGAATCGGCAGTAGTTGCAGACATACGCTCAACTAATCTATGTTTAACTTTTTTTAATACAATATCTAATGTCTTGCCTTGGCGAGCATCAGCATGCAATTTATTATATTTTAAAATTACTCGATCCTAATAAACAAATTATTAAAAACCTATAGAGTAAGTTAGAAATAGCTATAGAAACAAAATAAGAAAATTTTATTACACTTACTACACTTGATTGTATCATTTGTGCTACTTGTAACTTAGTACGTCCACGTACACATTCATTGTTAACAGCTAAAATCTCATCACCACTCTCTAATGTACCATCTAATGAGGCTGGTGAATTGTCCGAAACCTAGTTATACATTAATACATTATACATGTATCAGATAAAATATAAATACCTAAAATTTAATTTATAATACATTATTTGCCGCATGATATTACATCAAATTATACCTGAATAACATAAATGCAAGGACAGTGAGGTGGTCCTCCACCAATTGTTATTCCTATAAGATTGGTTGTTGGATCTTTATTAATTGTTACAATCCCTGAAGTCACTTTCATACCCCTAAACATCATATGTACAAATAATAATCCCATAATCCATCTAATACTTAAACTTACATTTTATCTTCGTCAAAACACAAATCCCCAAATTCGTAGTCGTACATCATGTAGAGAGTAATGTAAATTATATTCTTATACAGCTGAAGAACAATAAAAGTTAATTTGATTTTTTTTAATCAATACCTCAGGTATACTTAGGAATCAATAGACCTGCATCATAAAAATATATTTAAATTAGAATAACAAAAGCCGAAATTGTATGTTTAACATCCAATACGAACAGCTGGAAATAAGCTGAAATTGGAATTACAATTGCAATTATGGTATACTATCACGTTTAAATGCAAAAAACATATTTAGTACCATAATAAATTGAAAAATGTATTCCAATTTCCAAATCGTGCCACTCATACAACATGTAATTCAGTATATTTTCAAACAAATTATTTATTAAATTACAAGCATTTCGTACAGAGTTAGCAAAAACTAAAACTACTAAATTGAAGCCCCAGAAAGTATTCAATATCAGTTTTTTTTATCAATTCATATTCATTTTAACATTATTATCTTAGCTTATACCATAGAGTAATTACTCTATGGCTTATACCATGGAACAATACTTTAATTTATACCACGGTCTTAGAAGATAATATATAGATAAGATAATATATTCTAAGAACGTGGTTTGTACCCCGGTGAGCCAGTACGGGCCTGTATACAATAAACAACTATATTTATTTATTTAGTTGACCACAGATTGCTACTATTGAACCATGCCCTACTTTACCTGTAACAAACATATACATGTAATACAAGTAATTATATATCAGTTAATATCTAGGCGAACAATTATGTGTACATACTTATCATATACTTACATTTATATTTCTTTTTTTGTGGAAACTCAAAAATGTACTTACTATAGTTTTGTATTCAGTATAGATAATATATTTATTAATAATGCAGATTATTGTAAAAATTTAGATGAGAAAAAATGAATAAATAACTTTTATGTAATCAAAAATTGGGTGTCCAATAATAATATAAAAAGGACTATTAAATTACTCGGAGGGGTGACTAATAAGATAATTATTCTTATAAATTGGAAATCAATGTATCATCGGTCTCAAAAAAACGATTTGAACAAAGGAGGTCAGTCAATTAATATCTATACCAAAACATAGTTTTTAGTAGTATACTAGAAATTAGAAAAACTATAAATTATTTAATGAAAAGTAGTACAAAATAATTTCGTAATCAGGTTAGTTAAACAGAATTTTACAACAAAAAATCTGTATATCAGTCAAGCGCGCCCGCAAGATAAAATCCCACCCGGGGCAAGATTAAAATTCTAAGGGCTAAAACAATATGAATCTATTAATACATAAGAACAAAATCAAATACTAGATAAATCGGTACTCAGGACTTACAGTTTTAAGTGATATGCAGTCATGTGTAAGCATTGTAAACTAATAAATACGTTCAAGATAATACATTTTAGATTATCTAAAAATATAATAAATATTACTAAACTTCATAAATGGATCACAATAAAATTATGTTATAATTAATATGCATGGTATTAAATTAGCAATAGTTTTGAAACAAAAATTCCCAATAGGGGCAATGGCCCCTTTACCCCTCCAGCGGGTGCGCATGATATCAGTATAACCTTTTCAGAATTATTAAGAAAACTTTTGAGAAATTCAAAATATGTACAGATAAATTAGATTTCATATAAAAATACCGTTGGTACTCGGAGAAAGACTTAGGAAAAATTGTGTTGATATACAGAATTGCAAAAAAAAAACCCATCATTATAATATTTGAGTTTTGTTCTTTACATTTTTCCTGCACACCTCCTATTTTACCAGCCATAGTAGAAGCACCATTAAAGCAAACTAATAAAACTGAATGCCAATATTTTCCCATAAGTATCAGTACATCATGAAGACAGTCAAAAATAGCTTGAGCTGTAACAGATTGCATTCGTTTCAATGTGATATAAGTTTCAACTGGTCTATTTTTTTTTTTCATCAAAATATCGAAAAACAATTGATAATTGTTTAAAATTTTACACATCTGTAGTCTCATCGGCCATTATTGATATGAACGAATTTCGTATACTGTTTTTTGTATTTTGTAAAATAACATTTTTAATTGATGTTATTAAATCATTCTGTATTCGGTTACTAGTATACAAAGCTTATTACTACAAAGCTATTACAACTTTCAGATTTTTCATTATGACCACAAAATGGCCTACCACTCTTTCCTAGACAAATTATAATATCAGTGATACGATTCATAAATTAAATTATTAAATAAATAATAAATTATAATTATAAAGTGACTAATTATAAACATATGGGTTTTTCCGTGGAGCAGAGCGTATGCAGCCACGAGTCTGCTGGTGCGGGTTCGCACATTGCTTATCTTAATCTTCTGTATATATAAAACAGTAAGCTGATTGACTGCTATCAACGCACAGCTCAAACCATTGGACGGATCTGGCTGAAATTTGGCATACAGATAGCTATTATGATGTAGACGTGCGCTAAGAAAGGATTTTTCGAAATTTTGAATTTAAAGGGTTGAAATCGGTTTAATATTTTTTGACCAGGTCGATAACTGCGCTATTGAAAATGAATTATATTAAATAAAACTATTAAAAAATTATTAAAAAAACTATTAAAAACTATTTAAAAACTATTAATTTTATTTTTGGTAGTAAATGACGGGTATTGCATAAATATTAAACAAAAAGATCCCGCAACAGGTGCCAAAACAAATAAAAATGTTAGTTCAAAAAATTATTATGCATATCGGTTGATGATTAGACGCGATCAGGACTAAGTTATTTTACGATGCATAAGCTTTGTCAACAATTCATGGTCGAAAAATATATAAAGATAGATAGCGAACGATTTCGATACTTCGATTTCGATTCAATCAAAAAAAGCTGCGTGCAAAAGATTCTCAAAACAATTGTTAGATATTGGAGATGGGAAAGTTACTACAGATGAAACGGGATGTATAAAATTACCGAACGATTTCTGCACAATCATTTATTCGCAAGATGCTCTCATTGACCAGATATGTCCCAGTGTACACAGACAATACACAAATCATGAGTGGCTGGCAGAAAGAGCAATTTTAGTAGCAAAAAATGTGGAGGTCAACGAATTGAATCTCAAGATACAAAATTTGTTACCAGAAAACTTGGTGTCATGCAAATCTAGATACAGTTTGCGATGCTACTGAAGTTGTAAATTATCCAACAGAGTTTTTAAACTCATTGGATTTACTAGGCATGCCACCGCATAATTTACAATTGATCATTACAATTAACCATCGATAAAATACCTCCTTCAGAGTCATTTAAAGTTGTAATACATGCAGATAAAAAAACCACCAGAAGAACATAGAGGCAGGTACAATGCACCAACGGCAAATGAAGTTGCTTTAGTGTTAGTAGATCAGCAGTTTGATCGAAGAGACATCATCCTCGAAAACCGAAGTAACTCACTTCACCGTATCAGTGAGATACATCGAGCATACGACGCACTGCAGTATCCTTTAATGTTTTGTTGGGGGGATGATGGGTATGCAATCAATATACCACAACGCGATCCAAAAACCAAGTTACCGCTTAAAAAAACTGTCTCTGCATCAAGTTTTTACTCATATAGAATAATGGTCAGAGAAGGGGAAGACAACTATTTAGTTAATTATCGTTCTCTTTTCAGTCAATATTTGGTAGATGAATACGCCAAAATTGAAACTGAAAGACTAAATTACATCAAAAACAACCAAGCCAAATTGCGTGCAGATAGTTATATTCATTTAAAAGATGCGATTGGACGACGAGACATAGAAGCTAATCAGTTAGGCAAAATGGTTATACTCCCGTCAACTTTTACTGGTGGGCCAAGGTACATGCACGAAAGAATACAAGATGCTATGACCTACGTTAGACATTACGGTCGTCCTGACCTTTTTATTACTTTTACATGTAATCCTTGCTGGGACGAAATAAAAGAGCTCTTACTTCCCGGTCAAAGATCATATGATCGACATGATATAATTGAAAGCGTGTTTCAGTTAAAAGTCAAAAAGACCATGAACTTATTGACAAAAGGTAAAATATTCGGAGAAGTGAGATGCTATATGTATTCAACAGAATACCAAACTGTAGAGAGGTTCAGGTAGTTGTAAGCTATAAATTATCGAATAGTTTATGGTTACTAAATTAATATGTATAAAATATTATTTCAAAAATCTTAATTAATTTAAATTTCAATAGATTTAACAAAATTTAATCTTGGTAGGTTACATACATTTATATACTTAAACCCGGCAACGACGGGTAATTCAGCTAGTATTAAATAAAACGATTTTAAGTATCTCGTATTATGTATCGTCACGATAATAGACGTAATTATGTCGTCGATCACGGTTATTTTTTCGTTCGACACAAAAAATCAATAATGAAAGTAGCTCATATGTTTAATATTTAATTTTGTAGTAACCAACTAGTATAATTTGTTTTTTGTTTGAATGTTACTAAAAAATTATCATCATATTTAGAGTGTAAATTTCACAACTCTTTTAAATTATATTAATTTAATATACAGTGTATATACAGCAAGAGTAGTTATCACTTTGAATACCATTAGTAAAAGATTAAGGCATAAATTATTGATTTATTTGTTTTATGAATGTTTCAACTGGAAGAGTAGTATCACATTTAGCTTGTAAAATACTTATATATTTATACACAGTAATTAATAATTTAAATAATAAATAGATAATAAAGGACCTGTAGGCAGAATATTACGTAACCAGATGAAATTGTATTTCAATGAATATTTAGATAACACTGTATTTGAATACGTTATAATTGAATGATTTTTTCACAAATATTCAAATAAAACTTTTTTATAATAATTTTAACTATTTGATTAAAAAAACTATTCGACTAAATTTTAAACATAGTTATTCAAATAATGGTCGGTCATTTTATTCAAGTAAATGTATGGTTGATTATTTAAAACACACATATTAAGTACTACATACTTGTAAACATATCACAAGAATTATGATCGAAAATTATGTGATCACAATGGTGTTCTATATTTTGTAACTTATGAATCAATAATTATTCACTTCCTGTTTATAAAAATAACTGATATTTTATATAGAATAAACAATATTATGTCCAAGTTTTTTTTTTTAAATTTTATATTATTGTAAAAGAAAGCAAGTTATTTTGTATAAATAATTAAATTGTTTGTATTTATATGTGGTAAAAATGTAAAATTTTAATTAATTAATCATCCCAGAATAGATTTCGTAGACTGTGTTATTATACTAAAATATATTATTTATATACTTATGATTATATTATGATAGTAATCCTCATATGTATTTATAAATTATACAAAAATATTTGAAAAATTATGTTGACTTGGTCTCACAGATTCAATTTGAATATCAATAGCTTTGATAAAAATCATTATTTAAAATAAAATTTAAAAAAATAATAATCTATTTTATTTTAAGGAATTATTAAATATACTATATGTTGATAAATAAAATAATTAAAAAATCATAAATAAATAAATCAAACATATAATAGTTTTATTTAATTCAAGTGAGAACATATTCAACTATACCACATTATTTAACTTAAACTTACAATTATTATATTTAATCACGTTTAAACCCAGGTTTTCTGATTTCTGGTGGTATATAAGTCAAATCTTCTTTAGGACTCTTTACTATAGCTACTTTCTTTTTCATCCTTTTAATTTTTTCTTCATTTACTAAATCGTGTTTGTGTTCATTATCAAAGAAAAGCAACAGTTGTTCTTTTTCTTTTAGTTCTTGTTTGACTTGTTTGACTTTTTCCAAACGTTTCATCTTATTCAAATGTTCCATATACCTTTGCAACTCTTCTCGTCTAAAGGATTCATATTCTTTGTAAATCTGTAATAAAAATAATAAATTAATATAATTTTTAAAATGTGATTTAAAATTTCATACCTTTTTTTGAAGTTGTATTTCTTTTTCTTCATTTTTGTTTACTGCTTCAACTACAGCATTTTCTGTTTCTTCGGTCAAACTTTTATTTTCAATTTTTAATTTGGAAATAGTATCTTTCAGGTTTTCAGAATTTTCTGGTGCTCGCTTGTCTATAGCAGAAATAACCAATTCTACAGTTTCCGAATACACAGGACCTTTTAGTTTTTCTAGATGATCTGCTAACTCATTCCATAAGTTGTAATAAGCTAATCCAATAGTTTTAAAACTATTTCCCTTAACAGTATTATCAGTTTTACTGATCTTTAGCATTGTCTTACCCACCAAATGATCTCCATCTGTAAGATCAAAGTGATTATCAAAATAAGGATTTCTTAAAAAGTGTACACGCACTCTTGTTTCTTCTTCATCATTATCTTTTTCCTCTGTATTCACTTTTAAATCTTCCCAATCGCAGGGATTAATGATATATTTCAAACAAGAATACAACCCCATAGTTTTGGTGATATCATTATCTAGCTCTTCTTGTAACATTTGGTTGGAAGCAATCACTGCAGCATTGCGAAAATTGTTTTCTTTAATAAATTTGTCCATCATTAAATTGCATAAATAGTAATCTGGAAAAATTCCATAATTCAGTCTATCTTTTAATATCCTGATAAGGTCTTCGGTATTATTTGTTATAAGAAACAATCGAATGACAGCATGATGGGTGGATGGCAATAGCGTGCCAGCTTGAGCTGATAGACGAAACTTATATATTAGGTCTTCTAGTTCCTCTAGGTATGTTTTGTCAGTTAATGAGTTGGCGAATATGTCTAAATCAATGGCATTTATTTGCTTTTTATCGTTATCCAACATAGAAGACAACTTGTGATACAACATTTCAGGTTCGACTTTCTTCAGTAGCGAGCAGTTCATCCGTTCTTGCCATATCTCATTGCATTGGTACGCATCTGTCAAGAATGACCTTGTTCTACGCAACTGACGAGCAGTTAAGGATGTCAATAGTGACTTCTTAATTGAAAACATGATGGTTTTTAGTGATGGGAGAAAATAACAGTAAGCTGCTCAGATATCTATACAATACTAGATAGCAAATTCCTGTTATCAGTTGAAGCACGTCTCTGATATAGCCGCCATTTTTTCGGAGGTCTAAATATTTCTGCCATAACTTGGATAAAATACAAATATACATTACAATTGATGTTATTCTTGTAACAATAAATGTTAAATTATATACTTAATTATTAACCAAATATGCCTCATTTGTTTGTTACGTACAGCTGTGCAAATAGGGCTTCACCTGGACAGTCTACATAATTTTTCCAGTAAGTTTCCTACGTATTTGAAAAACAATTGGCAATTGACTGTATAATACTAGTATTATAACCATATTGTATTACAACCATAACTTCACTGTATTTTGTTTAAAATATTATTTATCATTATCTAGATTTCCACATTCCAATAAGGAATTGAAGAAGTGGATTGGAGCTATTAAAAGAAAAAATTTCAAACCATCACAGCACAGTAGAATTTGCAGTGATCATTTTACTAATGATGACTTTCAACACTCATATATCAATGTCATGAACCGTGATAAAAACTGTAAAATGCAAGGCAAATAGAACCAAATTCAGTCTTATTAACAAAACAATGTGGACAAATAATTTACAAAATAAATTAATATTATTATTAAAACACTTGACACTTTAATAGATATTTTTTTTCTTATTTTACAAAATAAATAGAAATAACAAAAATGATTAAAAATTAAAAATGTATTTCATATTAAGAAGTTACAAAATGAAAGGTGCTTTTATTTTATTGCCATAGCAATTTAACAAGCCCGCTACCAATTCGAGCTTGTTGTCCAATAACAAGAGCACTCGAAGGAGAGACTAAATTATCTTTTAATCCTCTAATAGTAGATTTTTTTAGATAATTAAGAGTAGATTCAAATGACATTTGTTGCAATGGTGATGGACATCCATTCATACCAATTCTGTTTAGTGGATTATATTTGCCATCATAAGTCATATAATCAGCAATTAATGATAAATGTCTAGTATCTACATTAATGCCATACACCTAAATGTTAAACATTATATAATTAGTAAATAATAAATACTATACAAAAACTGTGTTAATTCATTTACATCATACAAACCTTGAAAACATTTTTAACTTCATTAATAATAACCCGGTTTGCTGCTTCTATACCATATGTGTTCAACATCATCTGTATATCATTGCAGTATAATGCATTTAAATCCAAAATATTGGCAAAGCTAAACAACTCTGCTACACCCTGTGAACCCTCAGTTTTTAATATTAATTTATTATCTTCTTCAGTTAAAATAGCTCTATTAATTCCAGGTATTTCATGAATAATTACTCGACCCATTAAATCTTTAAGTAAAGCTGTTATATCAATTCTTTTAAAAACTAAAGGTATAGATATTCTAATTTTAACCCATGCATATGTTTTATCATACCTACAAGAATTATAAATCAATTATTATTTATTTTCTTACTCTTAAATGTACACAATCTTACCCTATAACATCAACTACAATTTCAGAATAATCTTTGTCACTATTTTTTAAATTTTCTTCCATTTTATCAGTCAAATCTGATTCTATAATTTCAGCAGTAGATATGTTATCTTCATCTTTAATAATATTATCTTCTAAATTAACTGAATTATTAAAATCACTTTGTTTGTCATCAATTTCAGCTTCTCCTTCACTTTCTGGATCATCTTCATCCTTTTCATAGTCATATTCTTCTGTTTGATTTCTATAAAAAAAAAAAAAAAAAAGGTTCAGGAATTATTTAATTTCAAGCAAACCTTATAGTTTAATATTTACTTTCTTTTGATAGCTGCAGAATCTAATTCTCCAGCTTCCGATTCACTATCAGATTCAACACCATGAACTGTTTTAGATTTAGTCTCTTGAGGTATAACTTCATCCTAAATAAATTTGATTTAAAAAGTAGTATTACATAAAAACAATGAAACTCAAAAAAATTGTATACATACCAATAATTCATCATTAATATTATCGTTTTGTTTTCTATTTAGTTGAATTGCTCTTTTAGCTTGTTCTGAAATTAACTCTCCACTAAAATTCATTGACAAATTTTTAATAAACATTTTTTTAAGACTTTCTGGAAATATATTTTTAATGAATCTAACAACATTTTTTGGTAAGATATGAGTTGTAGAATCATAGCAGCGATGAGGTAACAAATGTAATGTTAAATCATAACACATGTGTCTAATAGGTTTTAACATAACTCGTTCTCTAACTTGTACTTTAGATAGAACATCTTTCAATGTTATTTTAGTCATAAGTTTCCGTAAAGATTCAGCATCATTTTGAACACTAAATATAAATATTTGAATTAGTTATAAATACAGATGAAAAAAAATAAAAAATAAATTACTTTTTAGATTGTAAGAATGGTATCTCCATTGATGGAGTTTTAATTGTTTTCGTAGCCATCATTAATATTTCTCGTAGTCTAGGTATACCTAAAGTAACATTCATCTCACCACGACCAGCAAAATGAAATGTATTTAGCGTCATCTGAGTGGAGGGTTCACCAACAGATTGAGCAGCAATACATCCTACTGGTTCACCAGCTACTACAGTTGCTGCCATAGCTTTGATACGTATTGATTCTTTAACAGTTTTTTGTTCTTTATCACTCATACCATGATTACTTGCAAATAAAATATTTAAATTATTATAATTAATAATATATTTATAAATTAGTGTTAATAGGCATCTTAAAATATATACTATAAATTAAAATATTCGTCAATTGATGAATCCATTTTTTCTGATATTAAGCCATAGTGCCCTCCGGGATGAAAGGTTGCGCTTACAGGTTCAGGAATTTTTCTTAAACTTTTATTGTATCTATTAAATAATACCATTTTTTAGACAATTATAACAAATATTTTGAATTATTAGTTAATAGTTCACATAGATAAGAAATCTTATAAAGATCAACTGAATTAAAATAGAAAGTAATGGAATAAACAAAAGTAATTTTATTTTTCGTACTATAAAATGAAGAATTAAAACAATCAATAAGTATTATTGAGATATAAAATAAAGGAATTATTTAACTATACAATTCTTGTATATTAGAAAGTTAACACCAGTCTACCATAAAGTATAATAAATAAGTATTATAAGATTTATAGAGAATTTGATAAAAATTATTAAATATTTTTAATAATACATTCCCATTAATATCAATACAAAATAATATGAAATTTTATATTAATTTAGTTTATATTAAATAATTTTATATAAAATATATTAAGTTTTAATTTTGTTTTAAGTATTATTCTAGAATATAGTTATATTCATCAATGTAAGATAAATATTAGGTTTCAAATAATATGAAATAACAGAATGTTAGAATAGAACAGTGGTCTTCAACCTGTGGGTTGTGACCCAATTTTGGGTCACGATAAGTCTTCTGTTTAAAATTTACAAAAATTCATATTCATATATATTATATTATGTATGTCATATGATATCGAATAAAACAATTTTCATATAAACCTGAAACCATATTATTTTATATGATTTTATATTTGTAGAATATTAGAATTAACACTTTTTTCTCATAGACTCATATTTAAAAAGAAAAAAGCCTCAACTAATACGCAACATATGCCACTAATCATTAACTATTGAACACATAGTGGAGGAGTGTACACAATAAACCTCAATACGCACCAACCTGAACATGCCATCCAACATAGTAAAAGTACTTTGCGAAAGTCAAACTCTGAAAATTATCACATTCTTAAGTATCACAAATATTATTAGTAAATCTTAATTTTACATCTAACTTCACCTATATAATATGTCATATGTAATATTGTAATTTTAAATCTAACACCTAACACACCTAATACGTAACACCTAAGAGCTAGTAATATTTTTTGTTGAAGCCTTAATTTTCAAAAAAAAAAAAGAATAAAAAATCAAATTAAGTAATTGTATAGCGATTGCCTGACTTAATCCATAAAACTCATTTACATTTCATTTATTTATAAACTGCTTTATGTGAAATTGAGCCGAGGTAAAGGAATTTTGTGTGAAAACAATCCAGGACAAAAATCGCACTAATTTTTTTGTATATAACTTACTTTTTTCAGTATTATTACATGCATTTTTTTTGTATTATTACTTATAATAAAAATTAAATATTACCAAGATGCATAGAAAAAAAATAATATACATTAATTTATTCAGTTATAAGAGAACTTCTACAATGATATAACTGAAGTAATTTTAACTTTTTTATTTGGTTTTCATGGCTAACAAAGTTGATATGGGTCGCAAATATTATTTGGTAAGAAAAGTAAGTCGCGGGTCAAAAAGATTGAAGACCACTGGTATAGAATAGACTACAACTTTATCATTTCATACATGGATACTATTCAAATGTAGGGATAAAAAATATGAAGTTCAAATTGAAATTGATCTAAATATGAATACCATTTAAGAATACCATTTTTTTTACCATTTAAGATTTAAATTATAGAAAAACTATTATTCCATGAGACATACTTACAATTTTTTTTCATCTTCATTAATTTCATACCATTTTTTGCAAATTTTTACATTGCTTACATAACGTCCATTTTTAACTTTTAAATGTTTTTCTTTTTTAACTATAGCATTTTGTTCACACCAATTTAAAAATTCACTTTGTCTCTTTGTACTACTATTTTTATATTTCTTTGTAGCAGATTTAATTTCTTCAAGCTTTTTATCAATTTCTTTGTAACACTCATCATTTCTTATATCTTTTAGAGCTTTAAAAGAATCTACATTATCAGCCAAGAAACCAAATTGTTTTTTATTAAAAAAACTACTCTTAGTAACTTCTAAACCATCTTCACCATACAAATACTGTATTATACTTCCATTGCTGTCTCTAACAGTCATATCATAGTTAACAATAAGACTTTCAAGATGTTTAACTAAACAACGTTGTAAATAACCACTCCTACTAGTTTTGACAGCTGTATCAATAAGACCTTCACGCCCAGCCATACAATGGAAAAAAAATTCTTGAGGTTGGATACCAGTCATAAATCTACTACCTATAAATCCTCCAGCTTTAGGTAATGTATCAAACGGTGGAAAACTGGGTAAGGTTCGACCAGATATCATCATGGGTGGTCTTTTACCTTCTAACTCAATTTGGCCTAAACAACAGGATATTTGTATTGTGTTTACAGTAGATCCTTTGGCTCCAGATTGTACCATAAGTTGTAAATTATTATAAGGAAATGGTTGAAGTAATCCATTAGGAATACAAGCTCTTGTTATCTTGTTTGTAAATGGTTGTAAATGTCTTTTGTAATTTCTATCAACTAATACAGAAAAATGGCTACTTTTGCTATAAGATTCAGCTAATTTTGCCATAATTATTTCTTCACATACATTCTCAGCACCCAAAGAATCCAAAGCAGCTAATGTGCCAGCAGCTTTAGATTCATCAATAGCAGTTTGACGTTGATGATCTGCTTTTTCAGTCACTAATATGTCCTCTACACCTAAAGTGAAGGCATCAAATTGTAGATAGACAGTAAATAATTTACTAAATGCACTTAGTAATTGAGCAGAGTATTTTCCTCCATATAACTCATAAAAACAATGTATTAGACTGTATGTAGAAGCTCCTATATGATTTTTGTCAAGAATCCCAGAGAGAAAATTACCATTCCGTACAATAAAATTGAACTCTGATAATGAATCTGAGTATTCATAATTATTAGGATTTTTCCAATATTTTTGTTCAAGTTTAGATTTAGAAATAAGATTTATGAATGTTTTACGATTAGGAGGAGTTAAGTTTATAATTATTGTTGATATAATTTGTTTTCCAGACCATAACATAAGTGGTTTAAAAATAGCTGGAGGTAAGGTCTTGATATTACGATCATATGAACTTAATGCTTGATAAACAAAGTGCATATATTCTCTTCTAGTAAAAAAACGGCCTCTAATTGTCATTCTTACACTTGATATAATATGATCTTGAATAAGTCCACTTAATGGAGTACCATCCCGAGGAACTAAATATTGGTAAACAACACTTGCTAATTCCTTTGCTTCACATTTAGCTAATTCACTTTGAGGTAAATGAGCATTCATTTCATCTCCATCAAAATCAGCATTATATGCTTTACAATTGGCATAGTGTAATCTTAACGTTTTTTCTCCTTTCAATACTTTTACCCTATGTGCCATAATACTAGGTTTATGTAGAGATGGTTGTCGATTAATGAGCATCATATCCCCATCAATAACGTGTCTATGAACTATTTGAGGACCTCTGGAATTTGGTCCCCTATGAAAGAGGGTTTTTGATATGGCCTCTCTACGTGATATATTTGTAGCAGATAACCATTTTACTATTCCTACATCAGTTTCAACCATATTTGCTCCTGGATAATGATTTGGACCATTTAAAACAATCCCATGTAATCCTTTATTGTTCCAGTCAGTAACAGCTACAGGGTAGGTTAACTTTTTAGCAAATTCAAGTGGTATACCAATTTGATCAGTATCTAAGAATGGATCAGGAGTAATAACAGATCGTGCAAAATAATCTACACGTTTACCCATCATATTTTGACGAATAATACCAGATTTTTTTTCTAACAACTGTTTTAAGCCGATTCGAACAGCTGATTCTTTGCTACTGGACTTAAAGGCATTTCCATCTAAAAGAGCATCAACACACATTTGCAAATTATGCATACCAATTTGTACTTTATCTAAATGATCTAATCCTTGACTATCATTAACAAGTTCAATAATTTCTGGTAAAATTTCTTTATCTACTTTTTGATCCCGTATTAACCGTATATATTGTATTAGTTTAGCTTCTCGTAGAATGGACTTATAAGTTGCATTTCTAGGGCTTTCAACTATTTTACCTTTTACCATTAAGTTTGGACGAGTATTAGATGGAGTAACAAGTACTTCAGAAATAAAACAAGCGTCTGTTGGATATTCCATATTTAAACTAGCCAATACTGGCAATATTGCACAAATAAAATCTTTTTCGTTAGTCCATAGTTTTCTCATATGATTTTTTATGTCATATGGAAATAAATATTCTTTAGTTTTTTTATCCTTTTTTTCTTTAGTCCCATTAGAAATAGTAATTTTTGAAAACGATTTTGAAATTGAATTAAGTGGTTCATTACAATATATACATCCTTTTCGTCGAACAACCTACATAAGCAATAAATATAATCAAAAATTTTAAATTAGTTATAAGTAATTTTACAAAAAATTTACCTTTAATTATTTGGTTATTTAACTTACTTGACTAATAGTTTCAGCAATAAAATGTTGACGTACTTCACTAGCACTTTTTACATAAGATGTACTATTTTCTTCCAAACGTTCTTTTAAGTAAAGATTAATGAATATTTCTAATTCCTCAACAGATAAATTTCGCTCATCGTCTTCATAGAGTCCATTAATCTCAATCGATAAACTATGAGCATCTGTCAGTTGACCATTATCAATAAGCTTTAACTGTGCAGCCAACAATAAAGTGGCTTCTTTTGGAATTAAAACTTTATAACATGATAAACAACTTATTTTTAATAAATGAATTACAAATGCAGAAAATATTGGATTAATTACAGGACAAGGCAATTCAATATGACCAAAATGACCAGTACAAGAAGTCGAATTTTGATTACAGGTTGGGCACTTTCCATTTCCCTGATGACTAGGCCCAAGACGTGCATCATACATACCACCAACAACAGGTTCCCCCAAAGGAGTAAATGATATGAGTGAGTCTATACGTGCCACAGATAATTTTTTAACTTCTTCCGTCGAAAACATATTAAATTCCAAACTAACAGGTTTGAACGGATCCACATTGTAAAAATCATGGTAAAACATTTTAAATTATGACACTGAAAAATGTAAAGTACTAAAAAAGTTTAAATATATAGAAATAGTATTAAGTAAATAAGTATAAAATATGATAATTTACATTATACAAAATTCAATGTTGAATAATCGAAAATCACGTGCGTTTCTTATTACCATATTTTGCCGTGTATACATAACTGTTGATAAAAGATAAGAAAAATATATGAAAGTATATAATCTGTCAAACTGTAATCTAAAAACTTTGTAGTATTTATCTTTACTTTTTAGTCCATGATATTTATTTATTTTTTAATTTTATTGAGCTTCATATATTTTATATAATTATAAAAAATAGTAATTATTAATAATAAATAATGACAATAGATATAAAAAAAACATTATACAGTGGCGGATCAAGCAATTTTCCGCCTACAATCAGGACATTTGCCACTCTTTCATTCTCAAAAGTTTTTTTTTTTTAAAAAAACAATACATAAGAAATATATATTGTTTATTAAATTACTCTTTATTATTATAAATTGAAGACAATATTATAATACTATTACAATGATTACATTATTTTCGTTCAGCTTTTGAAATTAGTAAATAAGTAAATCAATACTAATTAAAATTTAATGTGCATGATAGTCAAATTATTTAACCTATTTTCACCAATAGTAGATCTTAAATAGGTACGTATTTTAATTTTTTTGAGACGAAAACAATCGTTCTTTTGAACAATTAGAAACCGCCATACATGAGTATATTCTTGAAGCGATACTTAAATTGGCAGTATTTTTTAATTTTATTTCGAAAACATATTGTTTCTTTTATTATGGTAAATACTATTTGTCTTACCTAGGTATTTAAAATGTATTATAATCATTGGCGCAACTAAGGGGAGGTTTGGAGGGCTTAGCCCCTCCCAAAATATATTATAGCCCTCTCAAATGTTTTGATTATTTAAAATTTAATGATAATTTAAGCATGGGATAGTGAGATACATACTAAATAATATGAGTATATGACGCAGAGAATTATTCAAAAGTAAACTGTATAAATATAAAATATTATTATTATAGTTTATTTTGTAATCCCTACAATCCTACATAATTAATAATAATATTGTTATCTAATAAATGTGATGGACGACGGTGGAATATTGCGGTGGTGTTATGTCATATTTTATGTAAAACATACTACATAAAAGGAGATACATGATTTTTAATAATATTTTATGATTGTCTTTATTTCAATTAATAATTATTGTTCTGTGTCTACGGCAATGAGGGTTATGGGGAACGAAGCCCCCCATAGCTCACTTGATTAAATTTATTTATAGGGCTTCAGCCCCCCTAATGCCCGGAATACATGAGGCTAGTTTTTCAAGCTAGGATAGCAAGGTAATACTTACAAAAATAATGCTGTGATACCACCGCTTCAAATACAGGGCGTTTAAATGGTGCATGCGTTTTATTGGAGCAAAAATTGGGAAAAGACTTACTTTACCTACCATGTCGCCACCACATATACGAAATAAGTTTACGTGGCGTTTTTGAAACTGTACTTCCTCATACAACAAGTCCTGATAACCCACTATTCAAAAAGTTTCGAAACAATTGGAATAAAATTAATATTAGAAATATAACTTCTAATATAGACGACCTTGAGTGTTGCACTGCTTTAGAAGATGTACGAAATAATATTCTCCACTTTTGTTGAGCTATGTTGCAAAATAAATGTTAAAGAGATGACTATAAAGAATTACTTGAGCTATCTATAACATTTTTGAATGGTAATTTGGACAACAAATTTAAAATACGTCCATCTGGAGCAATGCATCAAGCTCGCTGGATGAATAGAGCTATTTACTGTTTAAAAATATATATTTTCCGAAATCAATACTCTTTATCAACCTCTGAAAAAACGCTATTCGTGATATTTACGGGAAAGAAATTGCATGCTCGCTAAATGTAGTAAATGACACAGCGGAAAGAGCAGTTAAACTTATGGAAGATTTTCACGGAACTTTAACCAAAGATGATAAGAAGTCTGAGTTGCTATTACAATGTATACAAGAACACAGAAGACTATATCCTGATTGTAAAAAGGAAACATTGAAAAAACAATTTTAATTAATAAAAATTCATAATATAATTTTGAGAAAATAGTACTTTCATACACAAAATTCAATATATCTTGTAAATTATAATAAATAAGAAGAAGTATGTAAGAACATAATTTATAGACAATTTTATTATATTTAAAATATATTCTGTAACAAATTTTAATTTTCCTAATTGTAAATGAGTTTTATATGAAAATGTAAAATATATCATTAAATTATGAATGAATTAATATACTCAAATTTCAAATTCAAGTCGGCACGGGTTAACCTTAATAGATTGACTTAAAACTTTTTGTAGTTCGTTTTTGTAGGCATATACACAAATTAAGTGGGTGAGACCAACAAAAATGCAAAAAAAAAAATTTAAGGAACACCCTAATATAGATATATATATATATATATAAATTTGTCATATTCTATGTGGGTTTGTTAAATATTTTCAATTTGACTAATTACATTTATTACAACATTCTTTGTTCATAACATATAAAATAATATTAAAAGAAAACTAAAATCATATTTAATTTTTTTTTTTTTTAATTTTAAAGCTTAATTGATTATTTAAATATTGTCGTTGTTTATTTTATTAGTGTAAAGAGCCAAAGTCTAGGAGCTGAACAATAGTGAAAAGAACTTACGAGGGATAAACACATAAGTACTTACTTACTGCGACAAATACAGGTACGTCGTTTATATTTTTAGTAACAACTGGAATTATATTTAAATATAAAGCTACAAATTTTTTTTTTTTTTATGTAAACCATTACCTTTTTAAAACTTATAATCATTAAGTATTCTCGGTAGTGTAAATAATATTTTTCTATTACTTAAATAGATATTTTCCATTCAATATTCATTAAAATTATTAATACTCTAAATTTATAAATTTAAATACATCAGTGTTTATTTATTTTTATTATAAAAAATATATTTTTTTTTGATATTTAAAATAATTAAAATATTAATACATAATTATATTTGTACGTAGTTATATTCAGGGTCGGCAGAAGGCACGTGCCTTTTTTCGAATTATAGGGTGGCATGTTTTATAAATAAAAATATGTACTTTTCATCATTACACATTATATTTCTTCTTCTTCTTCTTCTGGCTTTTATAACTCTCCAAGAGTTTCCGCCGCCATCACCAAATCACTCCACTTATCACGATCTTGCACAATCTCCCTCCAATCCTGCACTCCAAGATCTTCCAAATCCTTTTCTACAACATCCAACCATCTCTTCCGAGGACGACCCCGTGGCCTTTTTCCTTCTGGTTTTCAATTCAGTACCATTTTGGTTACTGCATCAGAATTCCGCCTCATGACATCTCCTAGCCATTGTATCCTTTGTCTCTTTATGAAACCATTTATTGATACTATTTTTAATTCCTCCTTCAATTCTTGGTTGAACTTCCTACGCCACTGACCTGTCATTGGGTCTTTAACCGGGCCACATATCTTTCGCCATATTTTGTTTCCAAAAGTCTTTAGTCGTCGTTCTGTAATACTTGTAGTAGTCCATACTTCACAACCATATGTTAGTATCTGTCTTATGATTGATGTATATAGTCTTATTTTTGTTCGTTTTGAAAATAATTTAGACTTAAAAAACTTCAGCAAGGCGAAAAACGCTTTCTCTGCTTTTGTTATTCTCGACCCGATCTCATAGGACCAATCATTTTTAGTATTAAGTAATGTACCTAGATACTGAAATCCAGGACATTTCGGCGCCATCGTTTCGGCGCCAGGTGTTATTATGGACATTCTGTCGGATGAATTACCAGAAGAAATCTTACCCTTGTTAGACTGGTTTGAAGAAAATTATATAGGTAGAGTTCATAGAAATCGACGTCGAAATGCACGTTTTCCTCCAAATCTGTGGAATGTCCACGTACGAGTTTTAAATAAAAATGATAGAACTAATAATTATGCCGAAGCCGCTAATAGACGACTCAATGTTCAAATGGGGGTTACTTATCCAACACTATGGGCTTTTATATCTTGCTTAAGAAAAATACAAAGTGGTCGAGATACTTTTTGTTGCCAATTAGAAGCTGGTAAAAGCCCACCGAAGAAACAAAAAAGAAATCCTTAAATAATGCTAAAGCTGACACTGGTTCATATACTGTGTATTATACTATAATTTTAGTTATTAACAAAAATAAAAATTTTTATCCTGGATCTAAAGAATACTCATGCAGATGAATCAAATAAATATTTATTATAATAAAAAACAACGAATACTAATGCAATTAAATTGATAAATTTAGAGACTAATAATTTAAATGAATATTGAATGGAAATATTTTATTTAAATACCCGAGGCTACTTAATTTTTTTTATTTTTAAAAAGGTAATAAATTATATGAAAAAATATACTAGAAACTAAAAAAAACTAAAAACATAAAAAAAATTAATTGTATTATGATTGCATTTTTTATTCAAAATATAAACAGCGTACCTGTATTTTCGTGAAGTAAATAGGTATAGGTTAGTTTCTCGTAATTTTATTTCACTCTGGATCGGCTCATAGATTTAGGCTGTTTATTGTTATAATATAAACAACGAGAATATTTAAATAATCAAGTATGCTTTAAGATTTTAAAAAAAATTAATTATGATTTTAGTTTTATTTAATTTAATTATATATATTATGAATAAAAATTTTGTAATAAATTTAATTGGTCAAAATGAAAATATTTAACAAACCCACATAGAATATGACAAATTTATATATATATATACATATACATATACATATACATATTGTATATATATGACATAGATTATCTGCCTCATCGATGCTAATCGTCATGGTTTGACGCAAAAAAAATTATTTTAAAGTAAATGATTTTTAAATACGAGTACAAAATTTTAATTTAATTATAAATACAATAATCGATAAAATACTAAGTTCTGTTAAATTTTTAATATTTTTTATACACCTTCATTTATATTTCTGTGTCAAATCAATTTTCACTGAAACTATTAGTCTATAGCGCTTGTTAGAATATTACTATGTACAAATATAACAACGTATTGTAATTAGAAACACGGATAAAGTATTTAAAATTTATAATGTCTTATAAAAATTAATAATATTCATATATATATCACAATCCCAATAAAAATTGTGCCAAAAAAGGCTTAGTGTCCTGGTTTTCGGCTGCTGGGGGAAATATAAAATATGTATTAATTTTAAACATTATTTATATACTTACAAAATAATAATTAGAAATTATTAAAAACATTATACATTCAATTTTTAATAAAAAGTAAAAGAGATATCTTGGGGTCTAGAGACTACTCATGCAGCCGAAACCCGTATGTAGGTTCTGATTAACCAAGTTCAGTTAACAATCCAACATTTCTAAACGAAAAGCATTAATTTACTGATTGAAACTATGGTGACATTTAATTTATCCTTTTTTCAATGATTATTTAAAATTTAATCGTTAAAACACAAGATTTAAAAATTGAGGGAAGTTCATTTGCAAGGCAAAATTTTATTTGATGTGTTAACAATACAATAGTTATTTTTGACAATAAAAAAAATCTAAATTTAAATTTTATAAAATTGTATAAGGGTATTAAAATTTATATTTGCTTAATGTTTTTTTTTGAAATATTAATTAGATATTGATGTGTAATATTATTTATTTATTTACGTATATGTTTTTTTTAAATTTGTAATATATTTTGCGTAATGTAATTATTATTATGTATTTTTTTTTTTTGAACTGTATTATTCAAAAAGGCCAGTAATTATCATAATATCCACAAACCAGTGCCTTCTCATCTACGATTGTTACATATGCCGAAAAATATTTTTTGATTTGCTATTTCTATAGAACCTTGTCTTCAATTGATTCAATGATTATTTAAATCATATGATTCAACTTAACAAATAATAATATTTTTTTAATCAATGACGTTCTTATAAATATATTTCAATTTAAATTATTCAATCTAAATTTATTTCAAAAAATTCAAATTGTAATTCATATTTATTTATGTTTCTTTCAATTTTTTTGTATTTCAACCTTTATCAGGATTCTTTTAGATGCCAGGTAAACCTTTAATAAATTTTTTTGATTTTTATATCTTTAATATATAATGGAATAAAAATCAAATTAATTTAGTTCACATAAAATATCATAAATAAATAATATTTAAATAAAATTTATATCATATGCTTCAAATTATCTCATATTAATAAACTCTTAATCAATTGCGTACATAATTATAAAATATATTTGGATTTAAATTGATCAATCTAATTTTATTCCAAGGTATTCTAATTCATTATTATATTTCAATTCATTACTTAAATTTTTTTTTTTTAGATCTATGCCAAGTCTAATTTGGTAGCCGGATACCACTTTTAATTTTTTTTTGCTATTTATACTTTAAATATATAATGGAAATAATATCAATTTAATTTAATTTACATAAAATATCTTAAAACATTTAAATAATATGCTTCAAATTGACTTATACTAATAAACTCTTTATCAATAGCGTACTTAATTATAAAATATATTTTAATTTAAATTAAGCAATCTAATTTTATTTCAATTTATTCAAATTTTAATAAACATTAGTTTTTATGTTTCTTTTCAGAACTCAGATTTTTTGTGTTTCAAGCTTCACCAGGATTCATTTTGAAGCCAGGTAATGCCATTCATTTATATTATTGAATTTTATACATAAATATAAGTGTTGTTTAATTCAAATTTATTTAACTTGCATAAATTATATTAAAACCATTAAAATATATGATTAAAATTAACTTATAATAACAAACTCATTAAAAGTAGAGTTGATATTTATTTAATAGAATTCATTTTAAATTAATCAATCTATTTTTATTTCAATATATTCAAATTTTAATTAATTAATTTTTATGTTTCTCTTCAGAACTTGGATTTCTATTTTGTTTCAACCATAATCAAGCTTGTATTGGGAGCTATGTAACAATTTTAATTTTTTTTTTTTAATCTTATATTTTAAATTATGAATGGTATTAAAATCAAAATGATTTAACTTATTTTCAATTTTTTAAAACCCTGAAATCATATGATCAAATTTAACTAATAATATTAAACTTTTTATAAATGGCATTCATCATTATAAAATTTAATTCACTTTTAATTAATCACTCTAATTTTATTTCAAAATATTCAAATTTTAATTCATTTATTTTTATGTTTCTTTTCAGAACTTGGATTTTTTTTTGTTTCAACCTTCACCAGGATTCGTTCGGGAGTCAGGTAACGCCATTAATTTATATTATTTAATTTTATACTTTAAATATTAGTGTTGTTTAACTCAAATTTATTTAACTTACATAAATTATATTAAAACCATTAAAATATAAGATTAAAATTAACTTATAATTACAAACTCATTAAAAGTAGAGTTGATATTTGTTTATTATCACTTTTAATTAATCAATCTACTTTTATTTCAAAATATTCATATTTTAATTCGTTTATTTTTATGTTTCATTTTAGAACTTGGATTTTTTATTTTAAATATTTAATCGTATTAAAATCAAAATCAAAATTATTTAACATACATAACGAATCTTAAAACCTTTAAATCATATGATTAAAATTTACTTATTATAATAAACTCTTTAAAAATAGTGATTATATTTATAAAATATAATTCAATATTAATTAACCACTTATTTTATTCCAAAATATTAAAATTTTAATTCATTTATTTGTATGTTTTTTTTCAGAACTTGGATTTTTTTTTTTTGTTTCAGCCATAATCAAGCTTATATTGGGAGCCGGTAACAATTTTAATTTTGTATTTTAAATATTGAATAATATTAAAATTAAAATTATTAAACTTAAATTTTGTTTTAACCTTAGCCAAGTTTAATTCGGTTAACCTTTTTTAATTTTTTTTTTAATTTTATACCTTTAATTTATAATGGATTAAAAATCAAATTAATTTAATTTACATAAAATATCATAAAACATTTAAATCATATTATTTAATTTAACTAATAATAATAAACTCTTAATCAATCGCGTTCATACGAGTATTTATGAAATATATTTCAATTTAAATTATTCAATCTAATTATATTTCAAAATATTCAAATTTTAATTCATTTATTTGTATGTTTCTTTTCAGAACTTGGATTTTTGTGTGTTTCAACCTTCCCCACACAGCAGATATATTTATTTAATGTTTATTAAATACTGTCTAAACATTAGTTGAACAGAAAAAAAATGTTTATAACTCATGACAATAAATGTTATGCAAACCTTGATGATATATTTTTTATCAATTAATTTCCATGGATTTTCTGATCCATTTACCATATAGATTAAGTTCAAATATTGACTGTTATATAATGATTATTATATGAATGTGATAAATTTTTTTTTAAAACAACGAGTATCAGGTATAATATAATAAATATATAATGAAACTAATATAAAAAATTACAATCCATTTTATTAATATCATAGATATTCTTGACCATTTTATGGCAATATGCTATGTAAATTTAATGAATTTCCTACAAAGAGGTATACTACCAATTTACTTTATCGGGAGAATTCATATATACTCATATGTAATATTGAGAAAAATAATATATTTTTTTGTGTTAAAATATATAACATATATTATATGTATCTTTTTCCTTGTATACAAAATATAATTATTTATTTATTAAGCCGCAGCAACTATGGTCGTTGGCTGTAAGGGAGGAAACTGTAAGGGAGGAACAGTGAAACTGTAAGTTGGAGACACATTTGTGTATGTGGGACATAGCTTTGTTGCTAAAGACCCAATGATCTCCCAGCACTTTTCAGTGACTATGGCCAGACACAACGCTACACATTGCTCATAATATACACTATATTATAATATATGATTGGGTAATCATAAAAATCTAAATCAATTAGAAATACTGTGTTAAAATTAACTTTGTTTATTTTTTTGAATCATAACAAGATTTAATAGAAAATAGAAAAAATTATTTAGTTGATTGTCTTTTGTAGGAGTCTTTTGATAGCAAATGGAGCTTGAACCAAATCATATTTTATGATTTCTTCTATTTCATTTTTGCATATATGTTTAAACTGTCCTTGTTTTTTCATAGCATCTGCAATTTTAAGCCAATATTATATATTATATTTAATTAGATAAAAAAGTAAATAACAAAAATAGAAACCAGTCGTTGCCCGGATTACAGAATACCCAAAATATGTATTAGTAAATGTTGAATATTTTTAATAATAAAATATTTATTATAAACAATATTAAGTATGATATTGCAAATATTTTACATGCATATAAAAAATAGAATTATAACAAATAAGTATATTCTTACCAAATATAACACTACAAATGCTCAAAGAACAAAATGGAATTTTTCCTTTCTTCCATTGTAAGAATAGTGTTGTAGCAACTCATCTGTACGTAGTTTGGACATTATTCTGCGCACCATTGCCTTGACATGTTCCCTACCTATTTATGTATATTCCTTAACCTAGAAATTATTTGTTTTGTTTTTTAAATGAATATATTATATTATGAATTTTCTAATTACTACAAATTATAAAAATTACCACACATGTTCTAAATTCATTATCACCAGCAATTTATCTTCAAAAGTTTGTAAGTCTATAATTTTGTCTATTGGTACTGGACAGTCATTTAACTGATTAACGGGAAAATGTTCCTCAGAGGCCTGAAGCTGATCTTCCAATTGTAAATGTAAAGACTAAATGATACAAAATGACCAACTGATTGCTTTGAATTTGTTTTAATTCAATTTTTAGAAAAACCATATCTTTATTCACGTAATTTTGGAATTCCATATCTCCTGAATAATAAAATAATAATGTATAGTAAATATTTGTATATGACTGTAAAAATTTTACTTGTATAATTTATGAAATATTTTTGTATATTATAACATTACCTGCAGGTTGTATGACATTAGAATTGAAGCTTGACAGACCTTCTACAACATTACTATTTTTAACCATTTAGTTGGTTATCTAAAAATAATAATAATTAGGCATTGTTAAAAAGTAATTAACAATTAATTTACAGTATTAAGGGGGTATCACAGAGATATGACAAATATGATAATTTTTATTCTACTCAATATTTTTGAATTAATTTATTAATTTTGAAGATAAATAACACAAAACTGGACAAATTTTTTTGCTGAAAAATTCTAAATAGCCAATTTGTAAATCTGATTTGAAAGACACCATTTATACAATCAAACTATATAATCTAAATATTACCAAAATTATACCTAAATAACCTTAATCCAAAAAATTAATTTATATTACACAATTTAAAACTATTAATTTTTAAATTGGATTTTATATACTTCTAATTAATAAAAATGAAGCAAATTTAAAAAAATAATTCATCACTATTTATACTAATATATACTAACACTATAATGTCGCGTCCTGCGTAGTCACATAATAGAAAACACATTATAAGGAGGTTCTCTTGAATATCGAAACCACACGTGGTGATAGCTCGATTGTTTAGTTAACAATAATACCACAATTACCCTGCATTAGATATGGGTACGCAAGAGTTTATAATGATAAATATAATAAATGAACTCTCATAAATATTAAACCACATCCTGTATCTCTGCGTCAGTAATTATGAGAGATCTCACACACATACAGAATCAATAACGACTCATCACATTTATCATATTTTATTATAATTTATCATATACACACACACACACTTGCATATATCAGATACAAAAGGGGGTCCCGAACAGGCGATATTCAGACGAGTTTTGGCTATGCTGCACTAAGCACCTTCACGTCAGTGTATGTTATGGTCTGGACTTGGAAATATTTTGAACGAATTTTATAAAGTATAATTGTTAGGGCTTAGAATAATTTCTATAGTTTAAATATTTGGACTTAGAATATTTAAAACTTATTTAAATTTGTTGTACTTAGGATAATTTTTAACAGTTTAATAAACTAACTTATCTTAAAGAGTATTAATTATTTCTTCATTACATCTGCATCCAAGCGTTGACTAGACATTAATATTGGAATCAAATGATCAAACGGTTGGCATGCAATAATAACCTATAATACAAATATCGTTGAACATTCAAGTTATCAAAATATAAATTTTTTGGTGTAGCTAATACTATATAACAGAAATATTCTTATATATATAATCATAACTCACTTGTTTGTTCATTTTTTTTTTTACTGAAGTGGATGTTGGTTTTTTGAAATAAGAAAGTCCCTGCATGATTTTGTTTATATCTGTAAAATATGCAATATTTGGCATCTTTGAAATAGATATGGATAGATGTTTAACAACAAACATGGAATACAAAAATATTATAAAAAAAGATTCATACATTAGAGATTTGATGAAAGATTCAACATAGGCTATTTCAAACAAAATTGTCAATATTAAATGGCTGTAACTACAAAACTAATTACTAATTTTCGTTTACACGATTGTATTGAGTATTGAAAAATATATTTGACCATAAAAAAAGAATTCCAAAATTTAGAGCGACTGGTAAAATAGAAATACACCAGTATTTTTATACACATTAATTTAGGAATTATAATACTTTATTACAACGAATTTTGATTTCAAAGATTACAATCACGTTGTAGATATAATTATCATTTACATCGTGATTATAATTATAGAATTTTTATATTTTTTGGAATAAGTGGACTAACGTTACTTTACAGCAGTAATTTACAGACATGTTAATGGAAAATTGTCAAAGAGATCTTGTTATCGTATTTAAGACTTCTTTGGTAAAGTATGAGATTATAAGATTTGGTTAATGGTTAATCTAAAGTAGTTAATGCTCTCTTAAAACATAACCTCTTATTTGTATTTTATTGAACAAATATAGGAACATAACTTCATACATTTTAATTCTGTATTACTGTGTAACGATATCGTTACGTTATTAACATATAGGTTTATAGCTTATAGTTTTAACTTTTTTTGCGAGTGTCTTTAAAAATCTACTAATTTATCATGTCTGGATCAATTAGTGCGTTAACGGTGGCTGGTTCTAGAACATCTGGAACACCCATCCGTACGCAAAATGTGATGGCTGCAAATGCTATTGCAAATATTGTTAAAAGTTCATTGGGACCTGTTGGCTTGGATAAAATGTTGGTCGATGATATAGGAGTAAGTATGAACTTACTACTTATTTACTTATTTACTTATCTACTTATTTCATACCTTAATTAATAAGAAAATATTAAGTTTATATTTTATGTATTGAATTTAGGATGTTACTGTGACCAATGATGGAGCTACTATTCTTAAGTTATTAGATGTTGAACATCCAGCAGCTCGAGTTCTTGTTGAATTGGCCCAGTTGCAAGATGAAGAAGTTGGAGATGGTACAACATCAGTTGTAAGTATATTTTCATATATGTTACCTTACATTAATTATTCTTGAATTTAGATTATTGCTTTTATATGTGTTCATCCTCATTTTAAGAAAATACATTTTAAATTAGATATTAATACTAACCATATATAACTAACTGTAGCTGTTAAAAGGAAATTAAAATTTTTGATATTTAACACTTGAAAGTGTTTATAAGCTAAACATTAATAAAATATTTAAAAAAAAATTTAATATTTGTTTAGGTTATAATAGCTGCAGAATTACTGAAAAATGCAGATGAATTAGTAAAACAAAAAATACATCCAACATCTATCATAAGTGGATATCGTTTGGCATGCAAAGAGTCTTGTAAATACATACAGAACAATTTAACTGTTGGTGTTGATGATTTACGACGTGATTGGTTGGAAAATGCTGCCACCACATCTATGTCTAGCAAGTTAATTATGGCTGATTCTGAATTCTTTTCAAGAATGGTTGTAGATGCTTGCATGCTTGTTAAACGACCATCTGATAAGCGTGGTGGTGTATCTGTTCCCATTAAAACAATTAATGTACTTAAAGCTCACGGTAAAAGTGCTCGAGAAAGTTTACTTATTCAGGGATATGCTCTGAATTGTACTGTTGCCTCGGAAGCAATGCCAAAAAAGATAACAAATGCAAAAATTGCTTGTTTGGATTTCTCTTTACAAAAGACTAAAATGAAATTAGGAGTACAGGTTCTGGTAAATGATGTTGACCAATTAGAAGCAATTCGACAACGGGAATCTGATATAACTAAAGAAAGAGTACAAAAAATTTTAGCCACTGGAGCTAATGTTATATTATGCACTGGTGGTATTGATGACATATGTTTAAAATATTTTATTGAAGCTAAAGCTTTAGCTGTACGCCGTGTAAAAAAAGTTGATTTAAAAAGAATTGCCAAAGCTACAGGTGCAGTCTTTTTGACATCTTTAACTAATATGGAAGGAGAGGAAACATTTGAAAGTTCTAGTCTTGGTGAAGCAGCTGAAGTTGTACAAGATCAAATATCTGATGATGAATTAATAATTGTTAAAGGCCCAAAAGCTCAAAGTGCAGCATCAATTATACTACGTGGACCAAATGATTTCTATTGTGATGAAATGGAACGTTCTATTCATGATGCCTTGTGTGCTGTCCAACGTGTACTTGAATCAAAATCAGCTGTTGCTGGTGGTGGAGCTGTTGAAGCTGCATTATCTATATATTTAGAAAATTTTGCTACATCTTTAAGTTCCCGAGAGCAATTGGCTATTGCTGAATTTGCACGTTCTTTGTTAGTTATACCAAAAACTTTAGCAATAAATGCTGCACAAGATGCTACAGAATTGGTAGCTAAATTGAGATCTTACCATAATGAAAGTCAAACTAGTAGTGAAAATGATGTTTACAAATGGTATGGATTAGATTTGGAAAATGGTGAAATACGGGATAACTTAAAAGCTGGTGTCCTAGAACCAGCAGTATCTAAGATCAAGTCTTTAAAATTTGCAACCGAAGCGGCAATAACTATTCTCAGAATAGATGATATGATTAAGTTAGATCCCGAACAAAAAGCTGGGCATGGTTATCAGCAAGCATATGATGCAGGAGAGCTATAATGAAACAGGTTCATTTATAAAAAATTAACATTAGGTTACTAATATTTTTTAATACTTTTCTTATATTTGTGCAAGAATTGCATTATTTTAATTTGTTATTATTTAAACTATTTTCTTGCCTTGTGCTTACTAAATAATAACATTCACTTACAGATACATTTATAAATATAAGTATTATTTTTTTTACATACCTATATTTAATAAACCTCAAAATTTTTACTAAATTAAATTGTTGGTTATTATATCTGAATAAAAAACTTCAAAAGTGATAATGATAATTTTAGTCAAATGTATTCCATGAAATTATCTTTGAGTTGATAAGTAATTTTAATGCCTAACAATAATTCTAAAAAATTAACTAAAAATATTTATATTTTTATTTTAATTTGTAACTAAAAATATGATCACTTTATTTGAAGTTTGTACTTCTTTTTTTTAATTTCCATATTTTATTAAAATACTGCTGGTTTTATAAATAATAGTTATAGTAACCAAAAAAGATGCAATTGGTTAAGATTATTTTTGAAAATAAATATGCTCTTAATCACATTTTCACACTATTAATTGATAAAATATATATACACATTTTTTGTGATATATTACGTAAAATTGTAACTTAAATCCTCTTTCTTTAAATCTTTGACAGCATAAATACTTAAATTTACCTCATTAAGCTCTTGTATTTTTATTTCCATAATGTTTTTATTAGATACACAATATTATATTTATTGTTTGTGCTAGGTTATTTGTGTTTATCTAAAATATTATTGAATAGAACATTATTTATTATATGTTTATAAAATTGGCTTTGAAATTAAGTCCCTTGGTAGATCTAATGATTGAGTCCAGACTTATATTTTATGATTTTTTTCAATCATAATTTAATAATAAGATTTAAATTCAGAATCATTGCTATCTCTTCAAGAACAACTATAGAGTGCAAAATATTTGAAGTGTAAAGATTATGGTTTCATTTGTTAAATATTTGATGCTTATAGTCCATTCAGAATAAGAGTGCTTAGTCACTTGGACGAAAACAGGTTTTTACTGCACATGTGTCTTTTCCACCAGGAACGTTGTGGTATGCCGACGCTGTTATACGTAGTGAATTGTATTACACATCACTCTTTTCGTGACGCCACGTTATAGTTCTATTTTGAATAACAAGGTTTTTTTTTTTTATAATAATCTGTATACAAGGCGGTAGTCTCTTACTTTTATAGACTTTTATAGACGACAGCGGTCGAACAATGGGTACGAATCATAGAGTGTCTAGATATCGACGGGTTTCCGACCGTTATCGGCTTCTCGGTAGACATGCGCGAGTTTGGGCCCTCTTAATCTGAACAGACTATAAAATAATTTTTTATTTTCATACATCTTACAGTAGCCTCAATAGTATTTTAAAATATATTTTACCATTTCAAATAATAATTTCATATCACTATGTTTTAGCTAAGAGTAACATTTCATAATAAAAATAAACTATATTCTAAGTATAATATATTAAAAAAAAAATTGCCAGCATATGGTAAATCAGAATAAATTAATCGTCTATCATTATTATAAATTAATTATTTAAATAAATGTATTTCGGTTTTGTAGAGTTAACTTCAAGTGTCTGAGAAACTATTCTACTTTATGTTGATAAATAGTATAATTTAATATTAGGTTTAGGAACATTGTGTGCTTAAACACTAATTACTTCAATAGTTCATAGTGACCAGATGAGTAACTAAATTGGAATTTATCGATGATCAATTATTAGCAATTTTAATTATTATAATCTTCACAATACTTTATTTTTTTATAGCTGTATGTCCTAAATTTAATTAACAGTTCTATGATTTATTTTGTTATAAATAATTTTATCTTATATCCCAAATAAAATTAATTATATTAATAAAATGTGTTGCTCACAATTAATGAGAACACAATTTTTGTCAGAAAAATAATCTTAAGGTAGTTAAATTCTTTCATCATGATGTTTTATCAAAATTTAAATATTAGCTATATAAATTAAAAAAAATTATTATTTTACTATCATACATTTATTGTTTATTCAAGAAATTATAAATTAAAACAAAACATATTAACTCTCAAAACTGTCAAGTTGAAGACAGACATTAAAAAAAATATATGTTGAATGAGAGCAGTATAGTAATAAGATAGGGGTAAATAAAACAAATACTTAATTTAATAAACGTAATAATTTACAAAAAACAATGAAATATTACTGAGGAAAAATTGAAACATATTTACAAATACATCAGAGAAGAAAAACATTAAATAATAAAAGATATTCTGTTTTTGATACATGAGTCTATACTAATTCATTTACGATTTTCAACAGTTCAATTTGAAATTAATCATGATGCACAATCATAATAATATTTCATATGTGCTTTATATGTATGAAGGCTTTTAAAAGTATACAAAACAATTAAGTTAAAACAATTATAAATAGTGAGGACTGAGATTTTAAAAACTACAGCAAACACATAGTCAATATTATCATTATTGTACACAAATAAACATCAAAAATATAAGAAACTTCATATTTACTTTTGTATAAGAAACATAAAAACCATAATTTCAGAAAATTCACTCAATATAAAAAAAAATTTTTCATTTTTTTATTTGAAAAATACTCTGTAGACAAAAAACTGCACTTGTATTGTACATATTTTAAATTTCATTCAAATGTAATGCCTTCAAGAAAATAATAACCATTTATAAGTATTATAATATAATGTATAATCTATGTACAGTAAGTAGTATAAAATATTTAAATGGTAAATTGTACTGTTATTAATCATCTAGACTACTCTGGTTTTTTTATTTGAGCACTAATAAGATTCTTACTGCACTCTTCAATTGATAAGTAATGCACAATATCGCACAACTATTTTCTTTAAGCCTATTTACTTAATATTAATCAAATGTAAATGTAGATATTTTAAACATTGTGTCTCAAAATATATTAGATATAAAAATACCTATAATATATTAAATTATTAATTAATCCTACGTTAAAAAGAAAAATAAACTAATAAAAATATTTCTGTTAAGCAAACCATTTTCATTACTTATATAATTTATATTTTACTGTATTAAACATTAAAAAAAGAAAAAGAAAATAAATCGAGACACTCTGCATACAATATTATGTATAAACACTTATGTATAAATATAACATAATATTTACAAGTACCTTTAAAATAATCAAAAACTAAAAATAAGTGTAAAAAAAAAGTACATATAAAACATGTTAACAGTTAACATATACTCTAATTATGAGCAAATAATTATGACATATAAAAACTAAAGTCACATTCAGACTCGAGTTGAATTCAATCGATAAAAAGTGGAGCAGCACAAATAAATATTTAGTTTATAGTCATAAGGTTATACTTTAAAAATAAATTTAATGCATAGTAATATACTTTTTGGATAATAAAAAAATTATTTTATTTATTACGACAAATTCTGATTTAATATTTAAAATATTTAGTTAATACAATTATTTAAAAAGGATTAAACTGAAAGTTAATAATTTGATCAAGTTTATTTCAATAGATATAATTGTACACAATCAACATTCTTAGAATAAAAAAGGAGGGAATCAAAGTGTTAATTAGCAGTACTTTATTATGGAAAACTACATAAATGAGATCCTAGTGTACAATGGGGTATTTTTAAAAATTCTCAAAAATTAAATAAAAAAATTTGAGAATAATATAAAAATATGGTTTATAACCATACAAAAAATAAAAATCTTATTTAATTGTTCATATTGAAATATAAAATAACCATTGTTAAGTATTAATTTTTGTTTAGAAATATATATATATATTTTTTTTTATTCAGTTATTTTAAGATAAAATAAATTATTAATAAAGTTAAACAATTTGCAACATCTTAAAGTTTTTTTATGGTAACCAGGTATGACAATTAGAAAAACAAAGTTACTAAGTACGCATTAGTTATTAAATATCATAAATAAGTGCCTTTACAATATTAAATATTTCGAAGAAAAAAATGGCACATTCACTGTTTAGGAAATTTGAAAATCTATGTAACTTAAATTAAACATCCAGATATTATAAACTTCAGGTTTTACATAATCATTTGGCAGCTAAAGGATTAACCTTTGTCAATTTATAAAACCCTTAAATATTTATATTAATATTATGATTCTGCATGGCACCTAGTGTGGCTAGAGTTTTTTTAATGCGTAATGCAGTAAGACGGGCAGATGCAGTATGATACCAACACTCTTGCATTAATTTGCTCATTGTTTGCAAACACTATAATAAAATACATATTTAGATTTTGATACAGGAATAATATTTTAGTTTACAATTTTTAACTTACTGGGTATGTATTCCACCTCTGTGGAATAGGTGGTCGTCTAATTTCTAAACAAACAACTTTGCGCATTTCATCAATAGTAGGATCAGATGGTACGCTATCATAATATGGTAACTGATATTCTTCATGAATATTTCCAATATTACACCTCCTTGTTATTTCCCATAAAATTAAACCCAAAGCATATACATCACCTCTTTTAAATGAATCAAAATGGTTCATGTTAATTGTTTCTTCCAAAACCTATTCAATTAAAAATAATATTAAAAATAAACATTAAGCATTGGATTTAGTAATGATAATACTTCAGGGGCCATATATCGTTTTGTGCCGACTCTATGATTTAATGGTATATCAACTGTGTCCATAGTAGTATCATATCGTACAGCTAGTCCTAAATCACCAATAGCACAAGTTCCATTGGATTTAACTAAAATATTTTTAGATTTGAGATCACGATGTGCAATGGCCGGTTTACCTATTTTATAAAATTAATAAAAAAAAATTGTATAAATAACATAAAATATATTTTTTTACATGTTTAAATTTTAAGTTAATTACCTTGAGTACCAACAATTTCCATATGTAAATGAGCTAGACCTGTTGCAATAGACAATGCCATGCGAATCATTCCATTAGTATCCACTGTACTACGATTCAAAAAATCAAATAATGATCCATTTTCATGGTAGTCAGTTATTAACCATAACTGAGTCCACGTACCATTATCTAAAGTTATAAGTATTAAAACCACTGTTAAACTATATGGTTAGAAATAGTATTTTAACCTTTATTATCAGCAGCAATAAATCCTAAAATATTATCGTGTCTCAACATTACAGTTTGGTATATTTCAGCTTCCCTAAACCATGACCGTTCCTCTCTAGATGAAAAAATTTTGACAGCCACTTGTTCCCCGCGCCATTTTCCTTGCCATACTTCACCAAAACGCCCTTTACCAATAGGTACTCCAAGTTGGATTTGACGAGCAATGCTTCGTTGGACCAAAAGTGGCAAGCCTATAATATTAAAAATTAATTAAGTAATTAAAAATTTACAAAAAGGAGTTCTACAAATACAAACCGGATCCGGATCCACTAGTAGTCATTTCAATCATATCTCTCAAAGAAACAGCAGCAGCTAAAATAGGTTGTTGATCAGCAGCTATGTTTCTAGGAGTTCGTAGATATCTTATATTATGACGTTTATTTGATTCAACCCAAAAATTCATAATAAGCATAACTACTAAGCATACAACTCCTATTGGACCAGCTATTATAATAGCCAGTTCCCATGTACCCAATCTTTTAGTTTTATGGCCATTTTCAGTATCATCTATATTGACAACACAAATTGTTATACAAGGCATAAATTATTTTCCACATACTAAGGATTATAAATTATAGATAAGCGTTTTATAATTACATATATAATGCAAATAACAGATAATTTGTTTAATACATATATGATTATAAAATCATAACAGTAAATAATAAAGCTATCTTCCAATATGCGGTCTACCTTCATTTTGTGTACTACCTAACTATAAATATGAGTAAGAGTATGTAGTTTCTTGTGATCAGTCTACAGCAGTGAATTCCACATTATTATTTATTACAGTTTATTCTAATTTCTGGTTAGGATTTTACATATTTGAAAAGAGCTATTTACATAAAAGAGTGAATCATTCAAACATTTTGTGGATCTGGAAACTAGTGTTAATATACAAATAATTGAAAGTTTTTGAAAGACTCAATATTAATTAGACTGAATATTTTTAATAAAATATATAATACAAATAAAGCTTTGTTAAAGAGTTACTTAGCTGAATATTGATGGCGAGGATTAAATACAATTGGTAATATTTTTGATTTTTTCTTAAGATATTTGAAATTACATTTAGTGGATAATCTATAGTATCAATAGTAGTAAATATATATATATATATATATATTTTTAATATGATAGTTTAAGGAGTATAGTATAGTATATTTTTATTTACACTATTAATATTACCCACGTGAAAGTAGCCCACGTTCATTTAGGTAGACCGCATATTGGGAGGTAGCTAACAATAAGCATTGACTATTTCAGTTTTTAAATATGAATTTATTTGAAAAAAATAACGCAAATATATGAATTTTCAATCCTTGTTGAAAATGTCCATGCAATTGTTAAAAAATAACAAATTCTACCTGGAGGTTTTATGTGTAGTTTTGGCTTAAGATCTTTGTTACAAAAGTCATATTGTTTACAACACTCGGTAACAAAAGAATCATTATGTTTGTTAGGGTAATGGCATGTAAAAGGTTTTTCTCGTGGGATCAAAATGGTAGTCTCCAAACATCTAAAACGAGCAGTTATCAAAAATTCAAACATGTTAAAGAACACCAAATAAACCTTAATGTTAGCCTATAAAAATAAGTTTAAAATTTTAGATTTGAAAAATTATTTCAGAACTATAATGAATTATCTGTTAATTATAAAAATAAAAATAAAATTGTTAAAGGAGCAGACAAAATATTTTAAAAAATGTTAAAAAAACAACGTGAACAAAATCTTAAATTATAATGGGTTTGTTAAGTTTTATTTATTAAAAAATGAGGGATTTAAAAAAAGTGTATAATGTCACTCAGTAGAGTAATTACTTCTCTAGGTTGGGGGTTTGGCGACAGGCTAACAACCCATCACAGTAAAAACAATTTTGTTTAGGACACAAATATGATGCCTCAGATTAATGGATTACAAGACTCAAGACTGGAAAATTGGAACTCTGCTTTATATTTTGATACTTAGAATATACAGACTTTATTTAAACCGGGTACATTTAGAACATTGGTAGATAAGGTGAAGACTGACTTGTAATAGTTGCACTACAAGAAATAAAATTAAGTGACACTGAATCAATAAAATTTAAAAATATGATTATTTTTTATGGACTATATGATAATAAAAAATTGGGGGGAAAGTAGTTTCACTGTAAACAAATCATACCTCTATTTTGTTAAAGATTTCAAAGTAATAAGTCCAAGAATCACTATGCTAATGATAGCAGTAAGATGGCTCAATATAGCATTTGTAAATTTAAATGCTTCAACAGAGAAGAAAAACTAGAGAAAGATGAATTTTACTCATTAACTAATAATATCTTGAATGAAGAAATCAGAAAATTGCATATAATTTATTATAAGAAATATATATTAAATGCAAACATTTGAAAAGAAATTACTTAAGCCCTATAATAGGTATTCATATTTTACACAAAGTATTGAATGGCAATGGGTGTATAATAATAACCTTACCTCGGAAAGAAACATCAGAATAAATAAAAAGCACTATTTTTCCACACAAAAATATCCACAGAGGTACTTGGAGTTCTTCTAATGAACAATATATCAATCAAATAGATCATGTGTTGGATAACTCAAGACAAACACAATGCTGGACGTAAGAAATGCATGAGTAGTAGATTGTGATACATACCATATGTTAGTGGTGAGTACATTGAAAGTTACACTTGAAATTGCACATAATTCAAAGAAAATAAGAACTAAGGAGCTTTTTGAAGATGTTAAAAAGCTCGATGAGTACAGGTAGAAACAACAACAACCCAAGTCAGAACAGGATTAAGACTAGAGGATACATTATCACCAATTTTATTTAACTTTGCACGGGAAAAAGTGATGCAAAACTTTAAACAAAAATAAGTACATATAGGTGATACAAAGTTTGGACTGCTAGAGAACGCTAATGATTTTGTGCTAATGGTGGAAAATAAAGAAGAGCTTATTGAATAAACTCAAGGATTATTTGAGACAGCAAAGAGTTGAGTTAGAAATAAACGTGGGAAAACAGACTACTTGATATCTTAGAAAGCAAGTTTGCCAGAAGATATACACACTCATTTGGAAATGGAGGCAAATAAGTTTAACAGTACACAAAAGTTCAATTACCTAGATACATTTATAATTCAGAATAATGTAAAACAAGAAGAGATACAAGCAATAATACATGCAGGTAATAGATTGATATTTTCTTAGATCGCTATTATTATTGAACAAGCTGTTTAAGTCAAGAATGATGTCTTAGAGTCTAACTGTATATTCTTGAATATAAGCATGAATTTTTATTTAATCCCTAATGATGAATGGATGCAAAACTCGAATGCTTCAAAAGACACAACAAAATAATCTTAGTATTTGAACGAAAAATTCTGAGGTCGATTTTTGGCCCTTGCATAAATACGAATACAAGAAAGTGGAGAATAAGGCATAATGTGAAGATTAGGGAACTATATCAGAAACCAAACAAAGTCGAAGATATAAGAAAAAGGCAGCTTCTTTTTTGGCTGACCACACATGGCGAAAGAAAAATGTCCTTATACACAAGTTACTATGTAGCTCTCCAAAAGGCATAAGACCATTTGGTAGATTAAGGTTGAGGTGAGAAGACCAGTTATTGAAAGATGTGGAATGGGTTGAATCAGATGCTGATTGGCATGCCCTAGCGAAAGATAGAGAAAGATGGCATGGCATGTATTTGTTAGTTTGGTCTTAAAGGCTGTCAACTACAAAGAAGAGAAGTAATTATTATTCATAACCTCTTATACATTCTTGGTTCAGATTTGAGTTTTAATTAAAATGTATTAATTTTTTTTATTTCTCTTTTATATTTATTATATATACTGTAACCGAGTAGCAATAGTAAAAATATAAGAAGTAAAGAAAAAGATATTTTCGTTAATACGATATTATGATATTCATAGCTATATATACAGCAATAGTTTGTGCCATTGTAGTTACAAATTACAGCTTACAACACATGTTTATTTTTAATGACTTATCAAAACTTATTTTACAAGTATTTAAAATATTAATACATTTAATAATAAATATAAGAAAACAAAATTAATTACTTATTGTTTTAATTATTGTAGAAATGTGAAGTGAAGAAATAATACGTTAAATAAAATTATTCCCACATCTTATTGGTTAAATTATTTATTTATTACAATATTACAGTCCATTGTTCTAGACTAAATAAAATAAATATTATGTTCTTGAAAAACCAATTTCTTTTAATATCAATGAAGTATTTATTTAAATATTAATTTCTCCCTAAAATATTAATATTAGTCAGGAAAACTAAATGAACTCCAAAACAGTTAAAAAGGGCACACATATATCATTAATAAACCTGTAGGTTTAACTTCAACAAGTTTTGGGTATAACCAGCGATTACAATAATCTCGATCTTGACAACACAGCATTGAAGTTTCATCCAAAAACTGTCTTCGAAAACATAATTTTGGCTTTTCTGGTGGGAAAAACTGGTTCTTGTGCAAACAACTTAAACCAAATTCCCAGCACAAATTATTTAAAGTACGCCAAATAATAAATATTTTAGTAAGATAAAAATTACAAAAGTATTCTTTATTTTTTTTCTTGAATAAATAAATATTCGTTATAATAACATGAACATGGGTATATTTTTAAGACTGCAAAATAATTATAAAACCATTATTATTTTTATATAGTATAGAATATCATTCATATTCCAGATTCTGGTACACTTATTCCAAATATTAAAACACAATTAGGGAATTGGTAAAATAAAATAGATGCTGAAGAACAAATCGTAATTTATGGACTCCTATAGGTCAAAAATTATCTTAATGACTGGGTTTCTTGTAAGGTTAGTAGTAACATATAATTTTTCCCCATTTATATTTGTTTACCTTTCTTCCATGTTTGTAATTTTAAACTAAAAACAATTTTGGAATGATAACTTTGAAATAATATAAATATAATTTATTTACTATAAAAACATTATAATAAAAAAATTGGTTGAGTGATAATTATTTTGTTGGCTTATAAAGGACACATTCTATAACATACGTGTAATAAAAGTGTTATTTTTTAGAAAAATAATATTCACATCTAAAAAAAAAAAAATCAAAAAATTATCATTGATTTGTATATCATATACTTCCTAAACATAATTATCATTTAATATTACTTAAAATTTATATTTTAGGCTGGGGCCTTCCTAAACAAGAAACTATTGAAATACTTTTTTTTTTTCAAACTACAGAATTATAAATTTAGAAAAATCCATAGAACCAGGAAGAACAAGCTAATTTAATTAATGTTGCATTTAAAAGTTTAACAGTTTTAAAAAGTTATTATAGTTATTGATTAAAAATAATTTAATTTATTCACTTTTATAACTAATAATATACATAAATACCCAATTATTTTATATTTTTATAGCATTTATTCTAATGTTTAGGTAAAACAAAAAAAAAAAAAATAAATAAAGACTATACCAAACTAGAAATTATACTAAAATTAAAACTTATAAATTCTTATAGTAGCCAGTTATTTTATTCATAACTATACAAGTGTTAGAGTCAAGGTACAAATGGTTAAATTCCTCATTTACAATATATTTTTATAAATTGATCATAACATTTTATTTTATACAATTTAACCAGAAGATGTGTTACTGTTGAGAATACTCTATATAGTATAGACTGATATTTATTTATAAATATTTTACTAATTAACTACTAAAAGTAGGTCTCCAAAAAAAAAAAAAATCCTAGCTATGGGACTGACTCAAATCAATCTATATTATACATTTACTCCTTGTAATTGTTGTAAACAGCATACACTTAAATAATTAAGTGAATTAATAATGCAATTAAGCTAAGACAGCAAAAAAAAATATGTATACTTACTAGTTGGGTTGAATAATTTAAACATTATTAAATTAGGTAAATTAATTGAAGCAATATAATGTTTCTATACAGGCCCGTATTTAAAATTTGGTGCCCCCGGGCATATAATTTATGCCCCCCTCCCAAAATAAATAATAATAATATAACAATTATTATTTCGTCCATAATCAAAATTCATTAATATTAAAATATAATTTATAAATGAAAATTGTTTAATACTTTTTTTAATTAACAAACTATAAATATAATAAAAATATAATTTTTTTTTTCATTAGGTACATCATTTTTAAAATTAATTTTGCTAAAATATTTTGCCGTCCTCTGGCATGTGCCTACCTGTACCCCCCCCCCACAAATAAGGGCCTGTGTCTATAATATAAAATCGCTGACAACATTTGGAAATGAACATCTTTATTGGAAAGCACTTGTGTATATATAGACTCAACAATTTATTTGAATATAAACAATTCAATATCAATTTTGTGTTTTTATCATATTTCATATAAAACAAAATATAAAGCTGTAAATATAGTGTATTGAACATTTGTGCTAGACTTTGGTTAAAATATAAACATGATACTATTTCTTGTAAAACTAATAATTTATAAAGAATGACTGTTACCATGACAATTGATATAATATAACCATAAAAAAAATATGGTTATTAAACAATCATTGGAGAAGTCTCCTCTAAAATTATAACGGTATACAATTACAAACTACAAGCATTCAACACCAAGTATTTACTAAATGTTTGTGGATATAATAAATGCAGAATTTGGCTAGTTAACTTATAGATTTAGAGTATAAATTTATCAATTACTATTTATGTATCAGCAAGACAGGAGCGTATTTAGACTTACTTCTAGGGGGGGAGACTCAAATTTTTTCTTAATTCAGGCTCAAAATTTACAAGTAATATGTTTGGTAATATTTTAATCTAATGCTGGATCCACTTAGAATCAACTTTTGTGAAGTTCTTGTTTAACACCTGTTTGTGTTTTGAAAGTTAGGCTTGTGTTTTATTTGATTTTTCACTAAGTATGGACCCAATTGGACAAATGGACAAAAAACCCAATTCAGTATTCACAGCCATGTGTAATTTGATTTTTTTTATAAAATGATCCACATTAAAAAAATTTGAAATGTGCATCTCACATATAAGATTCCTTAAATACAGGAGGGGACCTTTGTCACCCCTTCCCCCCACCTCTAAAATACCCTCCAGCAATAATATGAAATTTGGGCTAAAATAAATATACATGTTTTGAAGACTAAAAATAAAGTGGTCAATAACAAAGTAGCATAATAAGAATTTTTTTAAGTTGTTGTTTATTTGACAAACCTTAATAATATAATATAATAAAAATGTATAATAATATTACAAATTAATTGAGTTAACTGTATAGGTACATTATAGTGAAATACTATTTGAGAAATTGTTTAATAACCATAGGTAGCCTTAGTTGTGTCAAAGTAAAGGAAAACAATTTATAACTTTTTTGATGCATATTTCAGTATTCTCTTACACATATAGTAAATCATACACCAAAGACTGGGGAACTAAATGAGTTTTCTGTATAACTATTAGAATATTTAATGTGATAAATTAAATTAAGCACTTGTAAGTTTATCAAACTTATTTTTTTTTTTAAATGCATAGCATTTGTAAATTATAGATTAGTACAACTAATGTTGGAAAATAAAAGTCTGAAAAAACATAACTATACAGTTATAAATTTGTTCATTATTGATAAGATATTTCTATGGAAGACAGAAATTAATATTTATACCGAAAATGTACACAACAATGAATAAAAATAATTTAAAGTATAGGTAATCGACTAAAATAATGAATAATTCTTTGTTCTCACCTAGATGAATGTCGAATCACACCGGTATCTTTGTTAAGTGATATACTTGTAAAACAATATCCATCGGTAGTGCAAGTGAAGTTTGTATCAAAACATAAGTCACAATAACACAATAAACCTAGTAACAAATAACAATCTTTAAATATAATTTATCCATAAAATATAAAATTAATGTAACATTCAATGAAATTATGAGAAATTATTAAAATAATAATTAACATACCATTAATAGAATGATAAAAGGAAAATAGAAGAAAACCCACAATTAATACACACGTCCATTTGGAAGACATTGTACGAATGTAAAAAGTCCTTTGGAGTTTGTTATTTTCCAGTATTCACCTAGTCGAACAATAATCGACTACAATTGCAAATGTCTACATTTTCTTTTAAACCGATAAGGGCACATGGTTTAAATACAAATCAGTAACTACGCATATCTAATTGCTAACAAATGAAGAATAATCAATTTGTTTAGATAGTTGAGCAACACAATTAAACAAATGTTTTGAATGTACTATCCATCGAGAACATAACATTTGAAACTTTACTTTAGAACATTAATAACATATATCGACATTTAAATAACTCATTAGTTTTTACAATAAACGAAAACAAATGTAATAATGAAACTAGAAATATGTACTTATTACTTATGTACCAAAACATACGACAGGAAGTACTTATATCACATTACCAATTACCAAAACTACACTATACCGAAAAGTTATTTTGCGGTAGAATGGTTTATCGTACATTCGTGGAAGAAACATTATCAGTGGTAGATTGATGAAATATGATTACATAAATTGCAGTTGACATTGTTGCCAATTGAAACCAAAGTATCATTGCTCTCGAAAAATGTTTCCCATTGAAAGAGGTCAAGTGGATATATTTCCTAAGATGTTTGACATAATGGTAAAACCAAATTTCTTATGGAAGAGTTTTGAATTTTTAATGTTATTACTTTTGAAAATAAAGGGATCAAATTATAATTTATTCATATTCCAAAAAATCAGTCATTTCAAGTGCCTATAAACCACACATTTCATTAAAATATTTAAAAAATTATTAATAATCTTTAAAATGCTAATATAAATAATAAGAGCATGTTTGAATTCGTTTCGATTAATATTAATACAATAACAGCTAAATAAATAATAGATTCGGAAATTTGTTGAAATACTCTTGATTTCATCACAATTTCATTTTCAGACGATTACAAAACTTTTTTGGCTGAAAAGAAAATTTTTTGAAAAATCTTGTTTATTATCAGCTTTAAGTATGAAATTGAAAGTTTTTTTAATTTTAACTTAAAAAATGTTTGGATTTTTCAATTATTATTTTTTTGTCTTAAAGTAAGAGGTATTTAAACGTTCATTAAAATTATTTTGAAGTAACACTAATTTTTTTTAATTATTTCATTAACTAATAAGAAATGAGTACGATTAAGTATTTTTTTGTATTTTTCTAACTTTTTGTCAAATCAAAATGATTTATTGTCATTTTATTAAAAAAACTAAGAAAATATGAAATGGCTCAACAAAAGTTGATAGCGAAAAGTGTTTTAAGCATTTTATAAATTTTTTAGAGTTTTTAGAGTTGTCAAAATGAATACAAAAATTTAATGCAGTCAAAAACTAGTAATACGTACATTTTACCGATTTTTGTTATTTTTTCATAATTATTAAGAAAACTGTTGGGAAATTGGTAAAATCACCTTTGGGTACCGATTAAACAGCCTTTCTTTCCAGAAACTTTAAATGGTTGTGATTATTGGAGCAATCTATTTGGTTAAAATCGTGTTTACAGATACAAAAAATAAAAATACTCATAAAAATTAATACATTCATTTTATTCAGAATCTAAAATATATGCAAATATTGTAAATAACTATTACATATAATATATTATAATATTAAGATATAAGTATTTATTTTACAAAGGTATTTTGTATGTATCTAAGTATTTAATTTATTTATTATAATCATATTTGATTATAGTTATTAATATAGTTATATATTGCAATATATTGCATAACATAACAACTAATAATAATATACTTTTGTAAAAATATGAAGTAATTTTTTTGACTTGCAACAGAAAATTTGTAATTTTTTTTCACTCATTTGCACTTTATAATTGAATAATTTAACTGAATTGTACAAAATATCAGGCACATTGAAATCAACATTCATACAGTGGTGGACTGGCCAAAGAAGCAAAGGATCAATTAATTGCCTCCTAGATCCTCAATAGTGTCATAATAATAAAAATAATACATATTTATATAAAAAAATTCATTATTAAAATATAATAGAAAAACATCATAAATTTATTATTAGAATATCTCAATTGAGCACTATTAAATAGAAATATTTATTACTTGAAATTCAATTATAATAGATCTAGTTGATTAACCCTCTGGGCTCCTTGATACCCAGTCAGTCCCACCTCACATGGACATATACAATTGTTAGTAACACAATAATTAATTAAGTATTTTTTAATTTTGATATATTCAAAACATTTTTAACAGTTGGGGTAGGCAATTCAAACAAATAAGGAAATAAGGAATCTTATTTATCACAAATGTAATTAATTAAAATTATTTTTTTTTCTTTATCAAAATTATGTTTCAAACTTATTTTTTGAATATTGAGTTTAATAAAAATGAATATATTGCTCAAAAATAATTTTTAATTAATAAAAATAGTACAGATAAGCAGGATAAGTTTTTAATGAACAAAATAATAATTAATATACAATACATACAAATTCAAGACACTACTTACTGATCAATATACATTTTCCATTAACAGATTTTAAATTTTTAATCAATACTATTTATTTTGTTTAAAATTTAAAAATAAAACCTGAAAATTTATTTGATATTTTCAATTAGTTCACTTGATTTATTTAATCATCACAACTAATTTTTTAAATTGTGATTAAATATAAAAATTTAAACCCTTATTTTCTTTCTTTTTTTTTTTTTATTACTATTATTATACACTGTTTAACTCAAACTAATAAATTAATAATTAAATTACTAAATAAATAAAAAATAAATTATATTGAAACAAAACTAAACATTATTAATTTTTAGATAGATCAACAGGTTTTGAATTTCCTGGTGCATTGAATTCATACAATTCTACTGCACGTTTTTCACCATTTGGTGGAGGACCTATTAATTTCACCATTTCGTCATAATTTATAGATTCTTTTCGTAGCAATTCTTCAGCAATCTGAAATTTTATGACAATATTACTTTAAACAAGTTTTAACCAAAGGAAATATTATAAACAGAGAATTAAACATTAAGAAATGATTATTAAAAATTAATCTATATTATTATGAGAACATTATTTTCTTTTTACAGTAACTTTATGTTCGTACACGGAACGTGTTTGTAAATAATCATATAGAAAATCAGAATTTTTAATATCTAGATTATAATTATATAAAATCAAATAGAAAGTATTTTTAATTTTTTTTTTTATTTGTATATTAATTTAAAAACTATACCAATTCCAGTTTATTATAGTTTTCTTTAAGTAGTTTTTCTGTTTTGAAATAAGCTTCAGCAACTAATCTAGAAACTTCAGATTCCATTAGTGATGCTAATTTGTTACTATATGGCCGCACACTATCTTTAGTAACTTCAGGAAATGACAATAATCCAATTTTATCATTCATGCCATACTGACGTACCTTAAATTTAAATTATATATATATTTTAATTACATACAAATTAATAATAATAATTGTTTTTAAAATGTACTTGAGCATTTGCAATTTTAGTAACTTTATCTAAATCATTTTGAGCTCCAGTGGTTATGCTATTAAATACTATTGATTCAGCTACTCTGCCACCAAGTCCCAAACACATTTTTTCAAATAACTATAAAATAATACATTATTATATATATATATATATACTTATAATATATATATTTATGTATACATTATTTAAAATAATACATTATCATATAATTTATAATTAATAATATTAATTAAGATTTTTTAAATATTTAGTACAATTCAAATTCAGTAATAGATCATAATATACTATGAACTTCCTACAGATTATTACACAATGAAACTTTTAAAATATTAAATTTAATAAAACAAAATCCAGTAAATCTAAGTAATCTTTATGCCCCAATAAACAGTTCACAGTAATAATTCCAATAATAAAAAACAAATAATATTATTATATTTTTTGTACATCGGAAAAAGCAATTATATGAATGAATAAATTATGTGCATTTTTATTGTTTTAAAATTGATTAGAAGTAAATAATACATAAAGATTTTAAGAATTGTTATTATTAAAATATTCAATTTGAAAAATTAAATTTTTCATACTCAAAACACTATTCAAAATTAGTTGGAACAAAATCTTATGATAAATTAATCATAAGAAAACAGTACTTAAAATACTTAATTAAATTATAACTTACATTTTTAGAAAATATTCTCAAATACTTTAATATAATTTTACAGTAAAAACTCAAACTTACAGCTTGTTTTGAAAGTAGATACCGTTCAGTGGGTGTATACTGAGCAAATCCTAATGCTGCATTAGTTCTCGGAACAATTGTAACTTTAAGGAGAGCATCGGTGGTTGGCAACAGCCATCCAATCAATGCATGCCCTGCTTCATGGTATGCAACAATTTTTTTTTCATCTGGAGAAATTGCATGAGATCGTTTTTCTGTTCCTCCAACAACACGTTCAACTGCATAATCTAAATCAGTCTCTAGTACTACTTTTTGATTATTTCTAGCTGCATGTAATGCTGCTTCATTACAAACATTAGCAATATCCGCACCTAGTTAACATTTATAATTAATTGAATATTTTTAAACAAAGTATCATTAATAAATCTACCACTAAATCCAGGAGTCAAGTGGGCCATTTTTTGCGAATAATCTTTAGGTTCCTTATCTAATTTAATTTTTAAATGTTGTTCAAAAATTTCTTTACGCTCTTCTAATGTAGGGAGATCTATAAGAATGTGACGGTCAAAACGTCCTGGTCTTAACAAAGCCTAGAAATTCCAAAATTATTAAAGAATTTTAATTTATAAACATAATAATTAATAAGTAAAAATGTACTTTGTCTAAAATATCAGCTCTATTTGTAGAGGCTAACATTAAAACACCTTCTTTAGATCCAATACCATCCATTTCAACTAACAATTGATTTAAAGTTTGTTCTCCTTCATCACCACCACCTTCTGGTCCCCTTGAAGATCTTTTACGACCAATTGCATCAATTTCATCAATATAAATTATACAAGGAGATCTCTTTCTACCTTCTTTAAATAAATCCCTAAAATTGGTCACACAATTTATTTTTTGTAAATGTCATGAACAAACAATAATTTAATTTAATTAAATAATTCATATTTTTATAGCTTACCGTACTCTAGCAGCACCAAGCCCTCCAATCATTTCAATAAATTCAGAACCATTCATAGACAAAAAAGGTACATTTGCTTCTGTTGCAACAGCTTTAGCTAACATTGTTTTACCACATCCAGGTGGTCCTAAAAGCAATGCACCTTTAGGTACTTTTGCTCCTAAATTCTTGTAATGATCAGGTCTCTTTAAATAATCAACAAATTCCATGACTTCTTGTTTTGCTTCTTTAAGACCAGCAACATCTTTAAAGCGAACTCCTTTTCCTTGACCAATCAATGGATCAACTAATGTATACTTGGCTCGTTTAATTTGCGACTGAAATAATTTATAAATTAATTTAAAATTTTATCATTCAAAAAGTTATAAAAATACACAACGATGAAATTTGTAATTAATTATTTACCATTATGTACTTACAAACATATCTAAGCTGATAGGAGACTTTCCTCCCTTTGAACGACTAAAATAAGCCAGTGTAAGAAGGCCAACCAAAAATAAAAGTAAAATCAATTCAGGTGCATTAAGAGAACGGTCATACACCACTGGTACTCCATGACCAGGTTTTATACCCAATTTATTTTCAGCTTCCCTTAATTTTTGTTCAAATCTTTCCAAATCAGCAATATTCATATGATATGTCCTTTGATCAATCTATGAAAATGATACTTTATAACTATATTTTATTTAAAAGAATAATAAATTGTTTAAACAATGTTTTTGTATAAAAGTAATATTTTTTTCCCTTTTATATTATTAAATAATTAATTTATTTTAAAATGTCAAAATAAAAATTAAAAACAGCAATCTATTTATTTATATTTACTTTTCGTCCTTTAATTACAGCTCCTTCATATAATCGTATTGTTACTATATCTAAATCAGGACGAGCAATTATTTCTTCAACTTCACCATTAGCCAACATTAAATGTATAAATTCATTCCAAGATATATATCGCATATCCTAAAATTAATGTTTAAATTAATTTAAAAAAATAAAAATCTCAATAAGAAAATAATATAAATATTTACTTCAGGATTTGAAGTATTAGGTAATAATAAACTTAGAACATATAACATTATATAACCGGTAAATACACCCATCATTATTTTTATCATCATGGTATTTCTAGGATCATCAGCATTTTTACCATTATTTTCATTCTTTTGAGAATGTGAATATCTTAAAAAAACTTTGTTTACAGCAGTTATTTCCTTTTTGATAGCTATAAACTAAATAATGAATATAAATAAATTAATATTTAAGAATTTTAAAATATATTTGTAATTAGTTATTTAAAAAAAAATAAATTATTTACTTTACTGGATTTTTCTTTTGGTGTTTTGAGTAAATAATTACTCATAAGTCTAGTATATCTCAATTCCTTATAAGCTCCAGTATAGTTACCAAGTAATTTTGGTTTAAATAATCGAACATTTGATTTTGAAATAATATTGAATAAACTTAAACCCATTTTAAAATTTAAAGCAATACAAATAATATTATTTCATAACGTTAGATAATTCAATAACATTAATATTATCATGTGTTTATTTATTTTGGTTTAAATTAAAGATAACATAAAATTCTGTAATAATCTGACCTATCTATATCTCTTTTCTATAGTTTTAATATTGATTATAAATACTATTTATAATCAATGGTTTTAACCATAGCCTTAGATAATTTCTTCTACCGTAGGAATATGTATACCCATATCACAGAATAGATAATATAATATCAGTCTTTTAATAATTGATTACTAGCATTACATCCATTGAAAAATAAATATTTTTATTTTACATTTGTTTGTTAATATTTTAATTTCTTTTAAGCTTTAAAAATGAAATTTATCACTCGTGGTTTTGGTAAGCTAAGTGTAAACTATAAAATTCGAAATGTTCGTTCAAAATTCACAAGAGCAGCTGTATTAAAAGCTGTTAATGAACCATTGGTTTTTGAAGATTTTAAAATATCTGATAAACTTAAAGAAGGCCAAGTAAAAAAAATTTAGTTATTTTTAAATATTGTTTTGGTAAAAATAAATGCATTTCAGCTCAGAATTGCTGTTAAATATTGTGCTGTGAACATGTCTGATGCTACAATTTGTTCTGGATTATCTGAACATAAACCACAATTGCCATTTGTTCCTGGTTTTGAATTAGTTGGCGAAGTAATAGAATCTAAACTTACTAATAATAATGAAGAAGAAGAAGACATATCAGTTGGTGATAGAGTATTGGTTTTAAACAAAGAAATCATGGGTGGATTTGCTGAAGAATGTATTGTTAATGAAAAAGTAAACAATTTTAACTATTTATTTTTCAACTATTTAATTTCATAATTTTGTTGTTTTTAGGATGTTTTTGGAGTACCTTCAGAATTATCTTATGAAACTGCTGTGTCAATTGGGGATAGTTACGCAACAGCTTTAATAGGATTAGCGCGTCGTGCAAATCTGAAAAAGGATCAAACTATTTTGGTAACAGCAGCTGCTGGTGGTTTAGGCCTGGCAGCTGTAGATATAGCTGCAAATATGTGTAAAGCTAAGGTAGTGCTTTCCTAGTTCCTGAGATTAAAAAAAAAATGGTTACTCAGTTTTGATATTTTAAGGTTATTGGAGCTTGCCGATTAGAAAAATATACATCTATAGTACGAGATAAAGGAGCATTTATTTCATTTGAAATTAAGAATCCTGAATCTATGTGTAAAAGAGTATTAAAAGAAACTGAAGGAAAAGGAGTTGATATTGTGTTTGATGCCGTTGGAGGAGAAATTTTCCCATCAGCACTAGATTGGTATAATAATCTTTTACATTTTTATTAGTAAAACATCTAACCTGGTTTTAATTTTAGTGTTGGCCATGAAGGAAAAGTAGTAGTTGCAGGTTATTCATCATTGCAACTTCCTCAGTTAAATGTTAACGAACTACTCCGTCGTCCTTCTTTTAGTTTAATTGGTGTATCTTTAAATAACTATCGTACTCACTCAGTCAATATATATAGGTAAATATAAATATCTTAATTATTTAAACCAAAACATTTTAAAGTTACAATTACGATTAAACATACTGAACAGATCTTTAATTTGAAATTAAAATAATATATTTCTAGTTTATTACTTCAATTTATTTAATGCAATTTTGGTTAAAACAAAGTAATAATCAAACATTTAAATTATTTTATGGTACATAAAATTACTGTGATACATTTTAATTGAAAGTTTATATGATTATTGACCAAGTATAATTATATTTTCTGTTTTTCTCATTTATTAAATAAAGGTTTTAATATCAATTGTTTTTATATATATTTGACCAAGTACATTACATTTAAAAGAAGAAATAAATCATTTTGACTTACAAAAATAAAATTAAAGTTTGTGAAACATAAATATCAGAAAATCAGTTTATTTTATGCCAGGAAAATCGACAATGGAGCCATTATTTTGTGTTAGACAACTAGTAGAGAAGTTTAGGGAAAAGAAGAAAAAATCATGTATGTGTTTATAGACTTAGAAAAGGCGTACATATGTAACAAATTTATATACATATATATATATATATATATATATGTACAAATGTGTATGTACATATATACAGTTATAGTTGATTTAACACAATGACATAATGCCAAGATAAGTAGGCATTAATAAGAAAAGAGATCCCAAAAATTTATATAAATTTGGTTCAATATATATATATGAAGACTCAAGGACTAGTGTCAAGAATTTGTGTTAAATGACAAAAGATTTTAATGTATGAGTTGGTGTGCATCAGGGGTTGGTTCTAAGCCCTTATCTATTCTATATATAGTATTTTTATTTATAGTATATGGTATTGAATGAAGGTACAAAAGAGATTAAGGATGAGATACCATGGTATGATGTTTATTAATGATATAGTTTTAGTAGGAGAAAATTTGGAAGAAGTTAATAATAGGTTAGATGAATGAAGGTTAGCCCTTGAAGGAATGAGGTTGAAAATTATTAGAAATATAGAGTATTTGACCTTTGGAGAAAGATACCAAGAAGTCGTGAGGTGGAGGAAACCAATGACATTAGGCAGTGATGTGTTAGGTGAAGCCGAGAACTTAAAATAATAATAATAATAATAAAATATTTAAGATCATTTAAACAAAGAACGGGGACTTAAGCATGGATGTAAAACATAGGATTAAGTGTAGTTGAATGAAATAGAGAAAAGTTTCACTTGTTTTATGTGATTAGAGAACTCAATGAGGCTGAAAGGTAAATTGTATAGTAGTGTTGTGAAGTATTTTTATATTTATCTTAAGCATTTTCAGTTTATTAATGGGTAGAGTAGAGTCTTAACTGGTTTTTATTTATATCTTATATTGATATTTGTTACTTTATTCTTAAACAGACAACATTTTAGTAAAATTTAGTATTATATTTATTAATACTTATTTATTACATATATTTTTAATATTTTCTACTGGCTAATATTTTAGTCAGTTAAATTAACTTTTCTGATAGGCTTTCAAATTGTCAATGAAATTTTGTAATTTATTATTCATGAATTTTTAATTCATGACAAATGATTTTTTAATTTTTAATCATAAAGTCAAATTATTGAATTTTTAGAAGTTTTCATAAGTCAAAATGAAAACAATTGATTTTACCTATAAATAAAATTTCTTCGCATTACAAAAATTATATACCAACATTTTGGGAGATGGTAAACTGCTGCAAAATTTACTTTTTTCCGAAAGCCGATATGTACACTAAAGCAAGAAAAAATTTAACATTTTACAATCTGTGACAAAACCGATAAGATACATTATGCAAGCTGCGGCAGTTCATTTTATATATTTATGATATTATATACTACATAATATGTAATATTTACCTATGTACATATATTGTTTAATTAATTATATAGCGTCTTGCATACAAAAGGTAAGGTAAATCCAAATGCATTTTTAAGTTTTAGCATAATATACTAAATATCGGCTCCTTTTCTATTGATTATACTAGTTAGTACCTACGTACTAGTGTTAGATGTCATTAGAAGTATTTGAAAAGTTTAATATTTAATTCAATATGATGAAATTTACAACAATATTAGCCAAAAATGGCAAACAATTTATGGTGTCAAACAATTTTAAACTCAAATTTAAATGTGAATTAAAAATAAATGGTAATAAAACATTCGAACACGTAAGATGCAACATGGCATAACTAATTAAACTATATATGTACATAGGTATACATAGGCAGAAGTGGATAGGGATACCGGGACACCGGGATTTTCCGCTGCTTATATTGACGAAAATGGGCCGATGAAAAATATTACTACTAATACTATAAAACATGTACATATATATATAAATAAATATACAAATAAAAGTAAATAAATAAAATACTGATAATATATATTGAAATCTAGCTTAAATCTATAAATATCATAGTAAATTCCTTTAAAATGAAGAAGAAAAATAAGTATTTACACTAGGGTTACATAATTTTAAATGTAACTTTTTTTATATATTATTTTAATTGAATGATCAAAAATTAAAAATTAAATTTTATTCAAAATTTCGAATGCAAATTTTTTTTTTTTAATGAATATTTTAACATATTAGTGCATATACTTGTGCATGTTAAAGATCTTTTAGCGCATATTTGATTGGTTTTTAATGCATATAATTCTGTGCTATAATGATAACTGATTGTTCGGATTTAAATTATCATATATAATCTTTAATAAAACCCCATGGCAAAGTTGATTACTGATATATCATGTTTTTCCACAATAATTATATGCGAACCATGTAAATAGTATAATATTACTAAAATGTTATATAACCAGGTATACTTCAAAACGAATTAAAAAGAAGAGGTGCAGAAAATAGAATAAAAGAGATAAAAATCATAGAGTTGTTAGAAGAGAGTAAAAATTGTGTAAAATTGGATAGTATAATATATATTATAATTTTAAATATTATTTAAGAACGTTGAAAAAAAAAGGTTGTGATTGTCGAGTCGGTTCTTTCAAAGTTGAGGTAATTGTTTAGTTGGAATTTGGATATAATCATGTGGGCCGCTGTATTCTATTTTTCCCGTGCCGGTCAGATTATGTCTATCCGCCCCTGTACATAGGTACAAATTACACACTATAGAGTATATAAAATAAATTTCCGCAGCTTGTATAATGTATCTTAGCAGATTTGTCACAGATTGTATAAAAGTTGTTAAAAAGTATTTTTACCCCATTTTATATACAACCAACATTTTTAAATGGTCACTCCTTAAAGTTGTTTGAAAGCTTCTTAAAAAACAAATATTTTGAAAGTGCAATAAGAAGTGATAGATTTAAATATCAATATGTACATAAAATAGTAAATAGTTTGAATATAGTTTATTTGTTAAATTATAGTATATTTTTTTATTCTAAATTTTTAGTGGAGGTAACATAATATATTATTCTACCTTGGCATTTGCAAGGTCAGGTATTAAAGCAATTTATATAAATTTCATATCATAGTTATTGTATTAAAAAGAAATCAATATTTTAAAGTGGATAAACAAGCTATACAATTTGATTTCAATTATTTTATGTAGATATTATCAAAAAATTCATGTGTCATCATTGATTTTATAAATTATAATTTTTTAAAGGCTACAAAAAACTACTGCTCAGTTTAACTTGTTCACAACAGTAAGAAAATTTTGTTAAAAAACTCTAATAGTTGTTTTAAAATATTATTTTATAGAAATTTAGTATAACTAACTGTTAAATGTTTATTAACGATAAATTAATTTAGTGTATTAATGTGTATTACTCTAATGTGTAATTAAATAATTTATTTTATATTTTTAGACAATCAGTCAAAGATGTTTTAACTATGGGCAAAATGGGTGTGATTAGTCCAAATATTTCAGAAATATTAAAACTTGAACAAATAAATGAAGCCTTAGAACATTTTTCTATGGACAAAAGCAGTGGTAAAATTCTATTAAAGATCACTGATTAATTGGTAAGACCTATTGTTTTATTGTTAAATTATGTTCTCTTTGTAAATTTCTTTAATAAAGATGTATAAATTATTTGATAACATATATCATCTACATAAAAAAATACATATAGTATTATATTATTTATTTATTTGTCAAATACATCAGTACAATATCATATTTAAATTTTGGGTTGAAAGAGAGAGAGAGTGAATGGAAATGATTAGAATGGTGATTTGACCTATAACCTATTGAAGTATGAAGTGAAAGTATAAAATAACTATGGCTTAAGTTATAATGAACTGTAGTAGATAGTTAAAATATTTCAACCATAATTTAATTAAAATTGAAACACTGTGTGTGTAAGTAATTCTTAGTAAGATGTTATTAAAAATTGTCATTGTCTTAAGGAAAATTATTGGCCGGGGACCAACTGTCCGTATACCCTAGTGTTCACTCATGCTAGGATTCGGAATTATATGTAAAAATTACTAATGAAATTATATTATTATTCTTTTATTGTATCTTCATATTTTTTCGCTTTTTCTCTTGGTTTGTTATAATTAAGTTTACAAAAAAAGTTTATTCTTATTGGATCTATGTAAAATATTTTCTAAGAAGATATTAAAAATCTAGATTGAGTCTATTATAATAAATTAACTAACTTATGACTGTCAATATTTATTCTATTATCTATTTATCTATTATTGTAGGTGGTAGGTCAATGATATGCCTTTAACATTTTTTTTTATATTCATTTTATATGACTTTATATGACTTATGGCCCAGTTTTTCAATCATATATATCTGACAAATAAGAAAAAATTGATATTTGTATGTTTTTTAACATCGAAATAACCCTTATTTGATGGATATTGTTATAGATAGGTTATCTGTTATTTTTGTATCAAATACATTCTATTCGACGGATAACTTACAGCTGATTACAGAAATATGGTTGATTATCATAGTTCCATATATTATTTTAAATATTTAAGTACAAATTATGTTGTGATTTCTACAATTATTCAATCATCAATGATTCATTTTATAATTGTATTATATAAGCTTATTTTAATATGAATTTAATTGAAGAGGATGATAACCAGTAGTGGCTCGTAGTAAATATTCTGGGGATACTTAAATTATTTAACATAAACTTCATACAGCAACGAAAAAGAAAAACCCTTTTATTGGATTATTGGAAAATGAATCATACTTAATACTAAATTTGATATTTAGTTAATATTTTTAACTTAATTTAATTGTAATATTTTTTATAAATTAATTTAATTCTGCAATTTTTTTTATCTGCAAATTCGCAGATGATAGTGTACAGCGACCAACGACGGCGCGATAGTACGGAAATTATTGTCATGAACCCAGTTTCAATAGCGTTTATAATACGCGGATTTTTTTTCCCGGCCTCCTTTACCCGACAAGCCAAACCATTACATGTTACGATTGAAACTGTTGGATGTCAGCGTCACTGAAACGGCAATCGTCGTTGAAGTGATTTAAATAGTGTTTCCATCGAAATAATTTTTTATTAGTTTTTTATTTTGTGGCCTTTAATTCATATATATGTTACTGGCAAAGTATAAATTTTGGGCATTATAGAAAACGGATGATATGATTTAATGAATATTGACATATTATTAGAAAATATAATAAGTTTTTTAATTTTATTATCACTTATTGTCGCATGTACTGCTTCCGTGACATTTTGATGAACATAGCCGCTCCGCTGCTGTACATTTGCACTTCAGTGTTTTACATTTTTGTACACATGTACATCGACCGTAGCCCTGACCACCCAAATTTGAAGATTTCCGTGCTGTCTCTCGGTGTGAAATTTTGGTATGCGGCACATCATCAACTTCCAGAAATCTTTCTTTGCAAATTACAAATTGATTTCTACTGTACAGAGTTAAAAGGCGGCCTTCCTTGGTCCCAATTTCGTACATATTATTATTAACAGTAAAAACAGAATAAATACATTTTTATAATTTTATCTGGAGTATTAATAATATAAGTAAAATATTTTTGAGTACCTGAAAGAATAACTCCAATAATGTTTCTAAAATCACTACGGGCCCTATCAACGTCTGGAATTTTAACCGTTACTGACTGACCAACTTCGCCGGGACAAAAACTATTCTCAGAAGCTTGCTTCATTTTTATAGCTTGAACTTTCCAATGTTTAAGTGATTCGGTTCTATTTTCACGAATAGCTTTTATTCTTAAAGGTATAGCTAAAATAAAATAAATACATTGTTTAATTTTATTTAAGTATATAACATAATTATTACTCAAAAACGGAAACTAAAAATCTAAATCTAAAAATATAATTAAAAGGTATTATTATTATTATTATTATTATTACTACATAAATATATCTTCTTTGTTTTTGATATCGCTATTACATTTCGATACAGTAGAAATATAATTTAGAGTTTCTTCGAAGTCTTCTTCAGCTCTTAAATTACTTATTATATTTATTAACTTTATTTTAACTATGTTTTACGATTAATCATATTTCATTAACTCATATCCGTTTTTATTATTGCCCAATATATAAAGGGCATTTTATATATTGTCCGGGCAATGTATAAAATGCCCACATTATATACTTTGCCTGTAACATATATATAGAAAAAACTATAACATATTTTCAATAAAAATATTTTTATACATTTTTAAATACTAATTATTTACAAGTAACTGTTTTTTTTTAAGGGGAGACGCAGTCACCCCTGACGAGCCGCCCCTGATGATGATTATGAAATTATTCAATATTTAAATTATCAACATCGTGTCTATACTGTACACGAAAAAATAAATCATATACTTGCGTTGGATGACCATAATTTTAGGTTGATATTTAGATTAGGAAAAAATGTTATTCGTCATACATTAGAAAAAATTGAACGCGAAATAGCTTCATAAACTGATAGGTGAGTTTAAACATGCGTCTGTTGCATAAATACATATTCGATTCCATAGATTCATATTAGATATAAATTTAAATGATAGTAAAAATAAAATTAACAAATTGTTGATATTTTATGAAAAAGTTAAAAAATTGAAACTTAAGGATTTTAAATATAAGTATTATTTAAAATTTCATTATGATATTATCATTTGGTGTTCTTTATGATTCATTATAAATTATAATCAAATATTATATGTTTTGTAATATAAAAATACTTAATTATTTTCATGTTTTCGTAATTTAAAATTAAATTTAGTTATTACATTGCAACTGTCGATATTATGTTATGTCTAATAAAAATAGACTTATTCCATTTTAATGAAGCAGTTACATTACATAATATAATAGTATATTATACTATAGATGGATCATTTATAAATCGTTAAGATAAATTAAATTAATATTTATTTTGATATTTTATCTAAAATACGTAAAATTGTGTCCATACAAATATTATTAAAAAACTACAATTTCATTTTGGGGATCGAATTTGATTTAAGAACCTACTACGTCTACTACGTTAATTTCACGAAAGGCTGATTGAGAACAATGATTTCATCGCAATATTTATAAATAGAACAATCTTAGGAAATTTTAACTCAAAATATGTGTGCAATATGTTAATAATACGACGTACCATTTGCGTTTGTTCAAACAAAATTTTAACCAAAAGAAAATGTTGATATGGGTAGACACGGTCGTGCAAGATATGCGATAACGAAATCGTTTTTCGATTATAATAATTTTTATAAGATTTATTAGACTTTTATTTAAAAAAATTGCAATAGTTTTGACATTCAGTCAGTGGCGCACAGAAGTATGTTGAGAGCACACGCAACTAAAAAAAATTAGCCATCCACCCACCAATTTTTTTTTTTATAAAAAAAAAGGTTCGTTTAAATTGTTGTCTGTAACTGTAATTAACTCTTAAAATAACTATAAATTTAAGAAATTTAGATTTATTATAATTAATTAAAATTAAGATGTCTACACCCAGTGCCGTATAGGTATAATGTTTGTGTTATAATAATAATGTTATTTGCTTACCATACTCCATAATGTTTGGTATCCAAGTTGTCCAATTATATACCCACCAACCCACCCATACATGAGCGCCCGAAGAGGGGGGGGGGGGGCAAGAGGGGGCATTTGCCCCCCTGCAATTCAATAGAATGTTGAATATTTTTACTTTTATTTTGATTTATCAACATTTTATCGATATTTTTACTTTAGTGTGTGCCGTGTGGTGTTGTTGATCGTAATAACAATTTATTATAAGGCATACCTACAAAATAATGCGTATTACATTAATCGCGCAAAATTAAATACGTTTCAATTCGGTTAATTGATATTAATCGCCTAGTGTGTAAACCACTTATGACGATCGACGCACCACGCACACATAGCTTCAGTTTTTATTTAACTAATTTTTTAGGTTGTAAGGAATATATTTTTTTAATGTTCTTTTTGGTGTTGGATTTCATATAATTCTAACACAATTTGTAGTTTACTAGGAATAAACTTTTTTTAATGTATTTTTTTTATGTTTGATTTCATTATGCCTCCCCTGATAAATTTCCTGCGAGCGCCCATGCACCCATACACCCACCTCCGACGAGAATACATGCACCCCTTGGTAACCTGTCTGTGCGCCACTGCGTTCAGTCAATAATAAGTCTGTATCTAGTTTCCAACCTTTTTGTTGACTTCAAGTCAATTATTACCGGTAAGCAATTATTTTATTAAAAACATAAAATGTTCTAACTCAATGTTCGGCAACCTTTATGGACCCTTGCACCTGGCTCGGATTAACAATATCGTAGGCACTAGGCCCCTAGTCCTTGCAGGGCCGTTGTCTAATATTTAAATGGTTAAGAAATCTTCTCTTTAGGAGAGGAAGTGTTGAATCTCATGCAGTGTTAAGCTTTTAAAAGCAATAGTATTTATAATATAAAAATCAAATCTAAACTTTTATATGATAACTATTATACAACTATTATATAACTATTATTTATACAATAAAAGCTTTAACAAATGTTGAAAAAAAAATCATTTTAATCCAAAACATATATAATATAAATTGTCAAAAATCACAAAAAAATTTTTTATACCAATTTGCATAATTTAAATCGTAGCCACATATTTTCGTAGGCTCAAAAATGTTCGTGGGCCCTAGGCACAGTGCCTATAGTACCTATGCGCTAATACGGCCCTGCCTTGAATCACATTCACAAATTAAAAATGGTTCTAGGGCTAGATAATACAAAAAATGTATATGATATTCAATGACGTTTGCTAGTTTTTAAATTTAGCGCGGGCCGTATAAAAAAGACCTTAGTTGCCGACCACTGTTCTATCTCAATTAAAATTAATTGTATAAAAATATTTAAATCAAATCATTTTTTAAGCTATAAAATTCATCTTAATAGGTAGGTAATTATATTAATATTATAGAGTAAATATATTATGCGTAAACTAGATTAATTTAAGGTATAACATTAAATCTGAAAATATTCAAATGTTCCTGTGTGTATATTGTTTTTTGAGTTACAAAGATACATTTTCAGTTGAACAATAATTTGATTAGGTATCTACTTATAAAGTTCCACGGACACCCTTTTCGTTAGATATGTACAGGCGCGGATCCAGCCTACAATAACGGGAGGGGCGGATTATAAATAAGTATACTCTATGAGTCGGCCGGGGCTGGCCGGCTGACGGTTGTCATCGATCATACGGTCACAATAATATTATTCTTATCAACTATTTATTAATTTATGTAATAAAAATAAAAGACGAAAATGTGTGATAATAACAATACATTAGAATGTTATTACGCAAGATAATGCATTTAATAGTACATCAAATTAAATTAACACATTTTGATACGGCCAACGGGTGGGGGGGGGTTTTTCGTCCCTACCGCCTTTCCCTGGATCTGCGACTGGATATTTAATTATATATTATATAATTTTTTTGGGAGGGACCCATCTAATAAATCTCCCAGTTACGCCCATGCCCATAATAGATAAAAAATACCTTTAAATATATTTATCCAATTGGGACCGAAAATATACAATTATATTATGAGTGTTTAGCCACATATATATATATTTCGTATCTCCTTTTTGGCAAATATTACTCTGTTCAGTTATACTTTAAGTTTTGATATTTATTTCGTGTATTTAATATACCTCAAATGGCAGTAGTCAGGGTTATTGGACAAAAACCTTATCTAGTATATATAGTATAAGTATTTAGGTAGAATGTGTACGTTAGATACATATAGATGTGTGTGTGTGAGATTTGAAACTAAGGAAAAAAAGGGTAAACTTTTAGGTCAGGTAAGATACAGGGATGAGTTGTATGGGATCTAATATACTGAACTACTGGTCTCGAAATCTCGAAAAATGATTTCGAATGAAAATGTCTGGTGGGTCAGTTAATATTTTTAAATATGGTTGATATATTTAGTAATAGAACCAATTTTTTTAATAAAGTAGATTGAGCTTTATATGTTCTAATGTTTGTGTAAAAAAAAGTATCTAAAATTTAGAGAAATCAATTAATTATTAATTATTATATTATATTTTAATATATTAATTAATTTAAAAAAATTTAACTAAACTCAAAACATCCTATTTTGTTGTTATTCCATTTTGTCACTATACCTTATTACCAGGGTTTGGAAGTTGTAGGACTAAAAATGTTACTTTTTAGTTCTTAAATATGCACTTAAAAACCACAAAATATTAGCTATAAATATCACGAAAAATTGAAAAATATACATTAAATTTGAAGACATTGTTTGACGAATGATACCAGCTACATTATTAATTCTCATCAAAAGTTTATCTCTATTATTTACTTTTTTGGCATAAACTTGTTCTTTCAGAAAACCCTAAAAGAAAAAGCCATACGAGTTTTACTGATTTTAATCAGAACTGCGTGGTGGCCATGTTATGTCTGGGCTATATTGAGCATTATTTCCAGCTCCTCTACCTATAAGTTTGTCAGGGAAAAGATAATACGAGTATAATTGTTGTCGGACTGCATTTGTATGATGAGGAGGTGCACCATTTAACATAAACCACATCAATTCTTGTTCTTCTAATGGTACATTCTCTAATAGTACCGGAAGATCATACATAATAAAATGTAAAAATCCCTGACCGTTCAATCTAGCCGGTAATTCATATCTTTTGTAAATACATAAATAATAAAATATATAATTTAAAACTCTATTAACCCTAATTTTGATATTATTTCATCATTGTTGTAAGTCGACAATGTTAAAGTTGTTTTAATCAATTATGTGTGTTAACTAACAATATACTACTATTATCACTTGTAAGGTTACAACTACCAGAATAATAAATACAAATATAACTAGACGCAATGGACCTTGGTTGTAACTTACATGGCGTTTCATAAGGATATATAAAAAATAGGGTCGCCAACCTACTGGGCGAGACCATGAGGACAGACCACAATAGGATTTTTTTAGAAAAATATCGCGTTAATCAATGAAGTCAACTTGGTATTTTTTGAAATAATTAAAATTGATTATACGTAAATAATTGCAGAGTCGTTGTGTTGCTTCAATACCTCGTGACATTTGATCACATACCATGTGGGATGGTCGTTGAGGAGACCGTTGCCCGTACCTTATTATACTAAAGATTTTTGTGTGGGATATAATTAAAAATTTCGTGATTCCGTTGAAGACGGAGCACATAAGAAAAAGACAATTTGTTAAAGTTAATTATATGAGATTTTATTAAAGAAAGTATTTTAAGTTAGTATGAGGCAAAAAATCGAGCAATCAAAAAATCTCATCTAAAATTTAAAGCTACTACTCTATCTCCAGCTACAAGTTTAGGAAATTCAATTTTAACATCACCACATTCTTTTTCCAATTTGTGTAAACATTCTTTTTGATTGACCACTAAAGTGCCATGATATTTTTCATTGATTTCTACATGTTCTTC